TAAAAGTCGAGGCTAGAATTTAATTCTTTGTCCTTAAGACAGATTTGCCCTGCTATGGAGCTAACAAACTCAGTGGCGTCTATCTCTCAGGATACAACGACTTGTGTTTCTTCGGTAATAGCACTGCAAACGAAAGGAATAGGCGAACCGGGTCGGTGTAGTACTCTCTGACTCGAACTCGGACTCGGATTGACTGACTAAGGCTCGAACCCAAATACTAAGGCTCGAACCCACAGACTAAAGAGAGAAGGAGGAAGAAGAAAATTCAGAAGAAGAGAAGAATTCTCTGAATTTTGGTGTGATTTGGAATGAACCCAATGAGGGGTATTTATAGGCTAGATGGTGCCTTTTTTGAATGGCTGCAACCATTGGTTTACAATGGTTCAGGAAAAACTGCAGGTGGTTTATTTTGCAAAAAGGTGCAGCCATTGGTTCATAATGGTTCATAAAAAACTATTTTAATCCATTATGAAGCCCAGCAAACAGGCCCAATTCGGCCATCTTAACAAGCCTAGCAAAATAAAATTAAAATCCAATCACACAAGCCCAATTTCGTTTAATAAAAAATTAAACATATTTCACAATCAAGCCCCGCCCAAGCCCGGACCGGGTCAGGTCTGGTTGGGCGGCGAGCACGTGTGTGGTAATTGGTTCAGACCCAAGCTTGCCTAGGTCCTCCCCCTCTTAAAAACTTGGGTGTCCTTGGGTTCCAACCCAAATATCATACTAAGCTTATTTAAACTTAAATTGATTTTAATAATTTTCCCACGTGGGACAAACATTTCCCACATTTTGCAAACCTATTTAGGCTTTATCAAACACCTTACTTTGGAACTAATTCTCATTCACCTGGAAACGGATTTGAAAAAGGAAATATACCACGTTCATCTCCTTGCAGAGAGGAACGCGCTCGTCTATAGATCCACAAAAAATTATTAGCGGAATCTATTCAAAATCTCTTTCAAAGTTTATGTTTTTAATGCCCTTATTTCCAACAAAACCTCCAAACCCTTCCCTTTGCTTTCAACAATTTTTGCCAAACACAAATTTTTAATCCCCCTCCATCACCTTCCTTTCCCTTTCTTCCCTTTTCCATTGCACCAAACTGACCCTAAATCTTGCAAATCAGGCTTGCACCAAACACCTCAAAGACAATGGTTGTTCTGTAGTTAATTTTCAATGGGTGGATCTATATATAATAGTAGCATAATCTAACTAAATCAAAGCCGATGTTGGGGGGTGAATAGTAGACAGAAAAACCTCAATTGTTATAATATTGCATTTGGTATGCAGGAATGGAATGAAATGCAAGTAGGAATGGAATGAGAATGGGAATGGAATGGAATGGAATGGAATGACCATTTTCATTCTATTATTTGGTTGTAAATATGAAATGTGTAGGAATGGAATGATAATAACCATTCTAGTGTTTGGTTGGACCAATTTAAAATTTAGAATGAAATAAATTTCAAATTGAATTATCCAAAATATCTCTCTTAGTAACAAATAAATAAAATTAACAAAATGACATTCTCTAATAATTTTTTAAAAATAAATGGTGGCAGTGGCGATAGTGGATGGTGGTGGAGGTGAAAAACGGTAGTGGTGTAGATGGTGGTGTTGTTAGGCAACGGCAGCGGTGGTGGAAAGAGGTGGCAGTAGTGTAGTGGTGGTGGTGGAGGGAGATAGTGCTGTTGGTGGCGGTGGTGGAAGGCAGTGGAGGTGGCGGTGGTGGAAGGCGGCAGCGGTTGGAGTGGTGGAAGGCTATGGCGGTGGTGGTGATGGAAGGTGGTGGAAAGCGATTGTGGTGGCAGTGGTGGTGGAAGGCAATGGAAGTGGCGGTGGCGGCGGAAGGCAGTGACGATAGAAGACGGTAGTGGTGGTGGAAAGTGGTAATGGTGGTGAAAGGCGATAGCGGTGGTGGCAGTGGTAGTAGAAAGCGGTGGCTATGGTGAAATGTGGTGGCGATTATGAAAGGCAACGACGGTGGTGGTTGTGGTGGATGGTGGTGGCGGTGGAAGGTAGCAGCGGTGGTGGTGGAAAGTGGTGGCGGTGGAAGGCAGCAGCAGTGGCGGTGGAAGGTGATGGCGGTAGTGGCGGTGAAAAACGGTGGCAATGGTTGTGGTGGTTGTGGTAAATGAAAGCGGTGTCAGTGGTAAAAAGTGGTGGTGGAAAGTGGTGGACAATGGTGAAAGTTGGTGGCGATAATGGTGGTGGAAGGCGGTGGTAGTGGTGGTGGTGGTAAAAGTCGGAAGTAGTTGTGGTGGAAGGTAATGGTAGTTTTTGAATTTGGAACATGAGGGTTTTTTGGGAAGTTAACTTTTAAAAAAAATTAACTTGAGAATGGAATGACCATTTCATAGGTTTAGTTATGTAATAAATTTTCATTCTCAGGAATGGATTTTCATTCCAATGGAATGGCCATTCCCACTTTATATTGCATACCAAACAAAGGAATGGTTGGAATGGACATTTCATTTCATTCGTACACACCAAATGCAGCATAAAAGTTAGGAGAACATTTTGGACCTTAATAATAATTTTCAATGCATAGATTTTTTGTTTTCTAGGTAAAATATTTTATTTTTATTTTTATTTTTTCAGTGTTTGACAAAAGTTAAGTAGAGATTAAAGTCGAAATGTATGGCGAGAATTGTAAAATAACAATCAAACACCAATATATATATATATATATATTTAAAAGTATTTTACATCCAAACAAACTAAACCCTAATCTTTTTCAAAATTTTCCAATCTTAACATTGTGGCATTATAGTCACTCGAATATTATTAGGATTCATGTTTATGACCCTGACAAAAAAAATTTACACTGGCATGCCTAACATAATTAATCTATTTATTTATTTTTTCAACCTTGTGTCCAATTACATTATAACATGACAAAAGTTGAGTTTATTCATCTGTTGTGGTCCTCCTCTTAAAGATCTCGGAGGAACAAATTAGATATGGTTATAACATTTGATATTGTTATACAAAGTTGTTACTTTCAAGTCTCAATTAAGATTCGAATTTATCAAGAATTTTAGACATTGTGATTTAGTGATTTTTTTTTTTTTGCCTTTAAAAAAGTATAGTGAGAATTAAATTTTCAGAAAAATAAAGCGGAGTGTGTGTATTTTTAACCAATAAAAAAAATTATATTATTTAAGATTCTAACTCAAGCTTTGATGCAAACCCACCATCACATCATTGTACCAGGTAATTTCACCCTATTCTCCTCTACTCCTCTAGAGGCTTTAGAAAGAAAAAAAAAAAAAAAAAAAAAATTTACCCGCTATATTTTTAATAAGCAGAATGTGGAATTATTATTTTTTTCCCTTTTTTATATGTTTTTTTTAAAAAAATTATTTTCACACACACATATATAGACATTTGTATATTTTCCTCCCTAAATTTCTCTTACATTTTTTTTTTTCATTTATTCTTTAAATTTGTCAAAATTTCCTTATTCATTCATGCTTTAATTGGTTTCTTTCAAATTCGTGTCATTTTTCTTTTTATTTGTGGTTTTTCTTCTACACCTTAAAATTCTTAAAATTTATTTTTTCTCAGTCACCCTGATTTTAAATCCTAGCCTCCTCCCTGTTCATACCTAATCATTTTTTATGGTGCTTCCTTTACCAAAATATGTATTCTTTTTTTTTTTTGGATAATATGATTTTTGTACCGTGTAATTGCGGTAAATTATTAGACCTATTTTAATTGGTCATATATGTAACAAATAAATAAATATAGTCATCAACTTATTTGTATTTAGTATAAATAATCAATTTAAAATCATTCAATTAAATAATTCACTACAAAATTTTGATACCTATGTTTTTTATTTTATTCTATGACCTTAAAAGTGAGATAATTTATGTGCAGAAAAATTGCCACCTAAAACGTAGTTTGAGAACATTAAACCAAAGGGTGGGTTAACTAAGCATTAATTCCGGTATAAAGCAACCTATTGAGCACTAAAACAGAAAGTTCAAAAGTCATTGAAACATTTTTGACAGTGCCAACTAGGTTGCCTTCTATTCAACGAATGCTTCTAAAGTGGCAGCCGAAGTGCACGCAACTTCATTAGTTTTTTTTGTTTTTTTTTACTACCAACTTAGAAACATATCAAATATCATCAGAAAAAATTAAGCTGAGAGAGAGAGAGAGAGAGAGAGAGAGAGAGAGATTAATAAACGGGAGGAGAGAGAAAAATAAATTATTCTTCATCCTCTTTTCATTTTATTTTATTTTATCAAATTTTCATATTGTATGAAATTATAACTTCATATAACTTCAACCAATTTAAAACTTTTTTCTTTTTCTTTTAAGTGATATTTATCGTCACACACTCTTGTACGCTTGCAGGATAGAGCTATATTATATATACCCTAGTGAAAATAAAATGATATGCCCTAGTTATGTAAAATAAGTATATATATATTTTAATTTAGATTCAATTATTAAAATTTGAAGATGTTGTTAATCAAATAAACAAGATATGATGGATTAAATGGAGGAGTGCATCTAGTTTATAAAATACAATGAAAATAGATACATGGACTAAAAATAATAAATTATAATTATATTCAGGACTAGTAATAAAATGAGAGAAAATAAGTTAAAATAGTTTGAACACGTGGGAAGAAAATTTTTAAGTGAAAAAAAATGAAATCAGTTTATGTTAAAAATAATACTATAGGAGGAAAAAAAAAAGGATCAAAATTAGTAAGAAGAATATGAAATAAAGATTTAGTGAGAAAATAGATTTAAATATAGAAAGGAAATATAAGATTGTTGGGACTCCAAATATTTGGGAAAAAAGATTTGGTTGTTATATGGTCTGAGAAACAAATTTAGATGGTTAAGTCGTTATTGTTAGAAGAAATGAAGGGTGTTGTGGGAACAACCATGTAAGAAAACTACTACCCAGTCAGCCTAAAAGGAAGAAGAAAAAGTCTGAGTTCCTGATAAGGCATGACCATCCAATAAGGACGTATATAACTGCCAAACGACCCTTCCTTTCAAACCACTCTCTCTCTCTCTCTGACTTCTTCTTCCTCCTCCTCCTTTTCTCTCTCTTAAACTCTAACCATGTGGGCAACAGATAGTCAGGGTTCCTTCCTGAATCGAATAAGCATTCGCAGGAACCAGGTGGTCTCAATGGAGGGCAACCATGAACAAGAGCTCGAAGACCTTGAACTCTTCCAGAAACACGTCGCCGATCGCTTCTCTGATCTCCTCCCTCCACAATCTTCCACCACCGCCGCCGCCGCGGCCGATTCCTCTACCGTTGAAAGCCCTTCCTCCGCCGATCCCCTCCTCTCCATTTCCTGGTTCAGAAAAATCCTCGACGCATTCCTCTGCTGCGAGGCCGAATTTAAGGCGGTCCTCGTGATGGGCCGCGACGCCTCCCAATTCACCAAACCACCGCTCGATCGTCTCATCCCAGAATTCCTGGACCGTGCCGTCAAAGCCCTAGACGTCTGCAATGCCATCACCCACGGCCTCGAATTGGCGCGTCACTGGCAGAAGCTTGCTCAGATCGCTGTCACCGCCCTTGAACACCGACCCATTGGAGAGGGACAAGTCCGACGCGCCAAAAAGGCTCTGAACACTCTGCTCACGTCCATGGCTTTGGACGATAAGGAGGGAAATCACGGCAAATCTACCGAGCGTACATGGTCTTTCGGGCGGAGGGGCGGCGGCGGGACCAAGGACAGGACCGCCGGGAACTTCCGGCCGCTGTCGTGGAGCGTGGCGAAGTCTTGGTCGGCGGCGAAGCAGATCCAGGCGATGTCTTCGAATCTGGTGGCGCCACGTGGAGGGGAGTCGACGGGACTGGCTCTGCCTGTATATATAATGAGTACGGTTTTGGTGTTTGTGATGTGGACATTGGTGGCGGCGATTCCGTGTCAGGAACGGGCTGGGCTGGTGACCCATTTTCCGCTGCCGAGGCAATTGGTGTGGGCTCAGTCCATAATTGGGCTGCAAGATAAGATTGGGGAGGAGTGGAAGAAGAAGGAGAAAAAGGGGATTAGTGGGTTGTTAGAGGAGGTACAGAGGATGGAGAAGTTGGCCCAGTCTTTGGTGGAATTCGCCGACAATTTCCAATACCCGGTGGAGGAGGAGAAGGCGGAGGAGGTGGCGGCGCAGGGGGCGGAGCTGGGGGAGGTTTGCCGGAAGATGGAGGATGGTTTGATTCCATTACAACAACAAGTGAGGGAAGTATTTCATAGGTTGGTGAGGAGCAGGACAGAGGTGCTTGATATACTTGATCAATCTGGTAAATTGTCTGCACCGGTTCCATACTGATTTGAAATCAATATCAGTCTAATTGATTGTACATTTTTTTTTTCTACAAGTCATGTCATGTTTTTTTGAAAGTTTTGGGGATGATGTTATGATTTTAGGTATAATATGTTTATGGGTGATATATACATGGGTATACCATGTTAGGTATTTTTTGAAGGGATTTAGCTTATAGGCCACTAAGGTAATGATGAAGCAGTCATTGCTTTATGTGATAATGTACCACTCCCTTTTTATTGTTATCTAATGTATTCTGCCAAATTAGCAGAAGTTTTCCTTCAGAAGAAATGTATGTATATGACAAATTTGTTTTCCAATTTGTATTCAAAATGGATAGAATGAGAAGTGGTTAGATATTTTGATTAATTATTTGAAAATGTGTCCTCTAACATTGTTTGGGCACGTATACATATGTTGGGGGTGTTTGGGCATATATAACTGGTGGAAAATGGATGTTTACTGGTAACAGAAGTGATTAGTCTGTGTTCGATTTCTTATCTTGGTTGGTTATGGGAAACACTTAGTTTTTCTGGATGAATGTTCTAATGTTTCCAATTTTGTTGGACACGCTGAAGGGACCATGTGGAAGTCCATTTGTGTATGCCATTTGTTTCAAGTCAGATTGAGCAAAGAATATTTGTCCTGTGTTTGTTGTTAAACAGTTATTTTAATGTTTGTCAACTTGTTTCATATTTTTCATAAAGACACCTCAGAAGATTGTTGTAAAGATGTTAGTGTTAGTTGTTTACAGATCAATATTGGTTTGCGTCAATTTGTTTATTGCGGCTGGCCAGAAGCATTTTGACTTGCTACTATTTGTTTAAACTCAACCTGGTAGTGGGTCTGATTTGGAGCCAAAACTAGTTAAGTAAATGCTTTTTTTTTTTTGCACTTTAGTAAGCGATTGTTAGAGCCAAACTCTTGCCAAGATGGCATTTGCTTTGAAACTTAGATAAATTTGATAATTTTTAAGGTATCAGCAGGAAAATTATGCAGGTGTCAGCAGTAAAATTATGCACAAGGAAAGACACGTTACAATTTTGTACAATTTTGTAATGTACGAGGAATAGTGATGGACATGAGCGGATAAATGAACTTCAGACTTCAAGAGTGTTTTCCTTGCCATTCCAAGAGTGTTTGTTGTGTTCCTGTTGTTTGTGAAACCATCCCTCATTTCCTGACCATCAGTTCAATTCCCAAGAGTATTTGTTTTGTTGCTGTTGTTTGTGAAACCATCCCCCATTTCCTTACCATTCGGGTGGATGTATGACTAGTGGATGTATGACTAGAGGGGCGCATGCGATTTTTGTAATTTCATTTATATATATATGAAAACTTGTATATACTGTCTCCTAAAACTATTTTATTTTTCTTGTATATCAATAAATTTATTTTTCTTCTACCTCAACTCCTACTATATCTTTGTAGCAAATCAACTTCCACTCGTATTATTTATAAGGGAAGAGACGCAATGAATGGCCAAGGGGGTTTAGGGTTTGGATGATTTTATAATATATTATAGAATACTCTAAAAGAATATATATATATTTATAAGACTACTAAAAAATTATAGAGCATTCTAGACGATGCTACACAAACCGCTTTCCAAGCTTGCTCTTACACTGCCCGGCAAGCCCAGCATTCCGTTGTGTTGGATCCTAGTTCAGTGACTAAGGAAATTGCTTTCTTCATTTCCTTCTGCTTGCCTGGTATGATTTGTTTTGCTTTGACTACACAAACCTAGAGAATTCTAGAATGTATTTGCCATGCAGACTATCCATGTCATTAAGATGTTGCGCGTTTGGCGGCTGCCTTTTGGTCTTATTGCTTGCTTGCTTTCTAATAAAATCTTAATTTATAATTAAAAAAAGGAATGGCAGAAGGCCTAGGGTACTTATTATTCCTAAGATTTCAATTTATGATATTTATCAACGCTGTTCACTCTAAAATGATGTACTAAAAGGAAGTTCGAAGATTTGTGTAACAGAAATTTTCAACTTAGGAGATTTGAATAAAGACATGAATACGATTTGAATAAAGACATGAATACTTAAAAGAAGTATCAAGAAAATTCATTTCAAATGAGAATCATATATTTACTAAGTAGATCACATCCATTTATTGATGTTTCTGCTAATCACTCTTACCCAAAAAAGTGGATGATCTCGAATTAACATCACATAATTGGATTGTGTTTCTTCTACCTTCAAGTTTAAGTAGAGAAAATGGTCTAGATATCCATACTTCAAGAAGTGGAAAATCTTGAAAAATTTTAAAAACTTGATTTGTAATTTTTGATTAGTAAATTTGTCCACTAGACCCCTGAATGAGATCAGAGAATTGGAATTGCATTTGCAGCGTAGTAGTGCATACTCATTCATTTATATCCCTTTTATTTTTCATTCAGATTTGATGTGGGAGAAGTACTCTTTGTAACATTCTCCCCTCACCTGAACGCCCGAATTCACAACTTGTTGCGGTTGGGCCCCCTGCCTACCCTGGTGGGCTCGCCCGGATGCCTCCGAGCCGAGCGTTTGGTTCTAAGATATACCAACTATAACGGGTGTGCACTTATTTATTTATCCAAAATTTTAAGCTATTGAATAGTACTACATATCCACCCATTTATACCCCTTTCCATCCAAATCCGATGTGAAACAATTATCCTTGAAACAATTATCCTTGTAACACTAGAGTTCACCATAATGTTTGCACTCAAAACCACAAACCAGCTATGAGTTATGATTAATGTTTGGGCTTGTCCCTTGTTTGCCTATATGGGCTTCATATGTCCTAGGTTGCTGGACTTGTTTGGCCAAAGCCCACAATGTAAATACTTATACTATATTTCAGTTGCTTAATATTCCGGATAAAAAAAAAATTGTGTAGTTCAATAAAAACTTTTAACAAAATTTCATCGAGCACTAAACTTTTTTAAGTGGCTCAAATTGCAGTATTAATATGACCAATTAATTACAAGTCCGCTTAACTTGTAATTACGAATCTGTAAATTAATGAATGCAAACCTGTGAAATCCTTACATTCCATGCCCACGATTCTTCCTGACGTCTTTGAAATGGCTAGGAGAAATCAAATCATATTGAAAAGGGTAAAATACAATAAACCCCCCTATACTTTTAGTTAAAAACACAAACTCCCTGAACTAAATAAAGTCTCATGAATTATTCAAAATTTGTAATTTAAGAACAAATTTTAAAATCACCGGCACTAGGGCTAACCGGAAATATTAAATTACCAAATTGGCCTTAAATGAACCGACACCATTTGGAATGTTTATTGTAAGTAGCAATCTTAAAAACCAATGATATGGCGACAACGCAGCACCTTATCAACAAGCTTCACCTCCCCTTCAACGTCTTAGCGCCAAACACCTTCCATACAGACTCCAATCTAAGAAGTTAACTCTGAAACTCAATTTGGAAACCATATCTCATTCCATACAGATTTACACTACTCACTTTAGCAGCCAAACACCGACACGTACTTATACAAGACCCACCTATATACAAGCCACACACGCATATATATATATATATAGAAAGAGTGAGAAAGGGATATGCACAGACCCACCTTGTCAATCTCTTCACCGAATTCAAATATGGTCGACTTTCATCTGCACCTTCGATCGCAATATTGAGAATTTCTTTCCTGATTTTTCAAAATTGCCAATTTGTTTCCTCAATTGCCTCCAAAATTTCTCTCTTTGGCAATCTTAACCGCCGCAGGCGCAATATCGCCTCCCCTCGGCAATCTTCATCGCTGCCGGCGCAATATCGCCTCCCCTCACCACCAGTCAACGGAGGGAACTTTTCATAGCCCGCCGTTGCAATATATATATATATAGTTGAACAGAGGCCAAGGATCTTGTATACTGTTGATTTGTTAGTTCCAATAAAATAATGTTTAGCCATTTCAATGCATACTTGGTTTTGGAAACAAAGAGAACCCAAATAAAAGGGATTTTACAAATATAATTGTGGAGAAGGAGTAGTTCAGATTGGGGTGGGTTTGTTTGTTGCGCGAATGGTACAAGTGCGGTGATTGATTTATCAAACAACTTGAAGACACCAGTGGTGAAGAAGATGAACGTGACCGGCGTGAGTTGTCTTGCTGTGGTAATTGAAAGATGGAGTACGTGTAGTTGGAGTTGGGGGGTCTCTTTCTTCCATTGGAGTTTTGCCGGCACCTGAGCTAACGCCAGCGAGCTTGAGCACGCACTTGACTAGTCGTTGCTGATGGCAATGGCGACTTGTGAAGAAAATTAGTGTTAAACAAAGACATTTTAATTTGGAATTCTAATTTATTTATTTTCTTAATAGTAATAAGGGTAATTTAGTCATTTTAAAATTATGTATTGGATCAGTTGATGAATAGGCGCCAGAATAGTGTCACCTGGTTTTTTTTCTTAAAAAAAATAATTTAGAGAGTTTATTGTAAAAATAAGGGTTGGGAGGGGGGATTTTTTTGGGTGAGAGTAAAGTTTAGGCGGATTGATTGCCATTTACACTATTTAAAATAATTTGACGCTAGGAGACTGATTGTGGGACCACTCCACTACAAGTTGTGAAATTAAATATAATAAAGTATCATTTACTTGTCCCTCACGTTTTTGGGGGACCATTAACAGATTGTAAGTGCAACCAATCAAAGGATATTGAAAATATAATAAAGCTTTTCAACTTTAACAAGTATGCTGACGTGTAATATCGTGACATTTGAAACATGTTTAGATACGAGTGCAAATAAGCAATTAAGCGTTATTCACTTTTGTCCGATTACCCTCTTTATTTTTATTTTTATTTTTTGTTACTTAATTGCTTTTAATAATAGTCACACTTTATAATTATTTTTAAAAATTCTTGTACATTCCATTTATTAAGGATAATTTTTATTATTTCATAAATAAATTTGGGTAGAATGGCAGTGATAAAAAATGTGGTTGCCCTTAGCAAAATAAATAAATAAGTAAATAAAAAATAAAAATAAAATAAGAGTGCCCGTATCACATTCCTTGACAAATTTATTCTTTAGTGTAAGGAAAAAAAAAAAAAAAAAAAACTCAACAAGCTCTTTGTGCAAATATGGTGGTGTTGTAACTTGTAATAGGCATTCTGTTTTGGTAGAGACCAGTTCTGATGACCGTAGAAGAGTCCTCCACCCATTCTACACCAGAATGGAGAATGTACTTAGACAGGGCCACCAATTTTGACCTGAACAGGTTCATGTGAAACAAACTTGTGTAGATACAAAGACCTAAACAGGTTCATGAGAAGTCTAGTTCACAAGAATCACAACACCCAAATATCCACAATCCCGTTGCGACTAAGCTCATGTTCGATTGTACCAACAACATGGTAGAATACTAATTAAGCTTGCATCAAAGGTCTCCAGGCAGCCCTTGACACGGGCATTGAGAAGTTGTCCAAAGAAAATAGTGCTTACTTATTTTGGTGAGTTGTCTGCTGATACGGTTAAATCGTAAATTCGCACATTATCTTTAATTATAAAATTAAAATAACTCTTTTTATTTGAATTACATTTTGCATCCACCGGCCTTCTCTATTTTCCTTATGTATTAATTTTTGATTTTATAATTAAACATAATGCACATTTATAATTAAACTACAATAATAGTGAGAAGAGTATCATTCACGAGTGTGTAGATAAAAGTATTGTGGGTCAAATATATATATATATATGAAAAGTATGTACTTTACATATTGTGATGAGGCTACATATATATGTATGTATGTATGTATATATGTACTTTCATAAATAGAATATTTCATGAATATTCTTTTTATGTCGTCAAGGGATTGCTAGGGTCAAATCAGAAGCCATGGAAAAAAACTCTTGCAAAGTTGGCATTCCACCACTTTAAGTACGGTTCGTTGTTAAAATTGTGGTGTTATAAAACAATTTTGACCGGAACAGGTTCATGTGAAACAAACTTGTGTGGATATATACAAAGACCTGACCATATCAATAGTACACATGAAATTTGTGGAACAAGTCCAAGACCTGTCCAAGCATCTAATCATTTTGTTTATGCCATAGAAAATGGTGGAAAAGTTTAAAGCATTAAGGTCCTTACTATAAGTCGATAAAATTTTACAGTGTTAATATGCATTGCAGATTTGTATCGTTTGGTATTATTTAATTAAAATATATTTTGCGATCTATTTATTAATGGAATTGCAACTTATAATAAAACTATATACATATTGTCATGAATTATAATATATTTCTGGTGAATATATAGTTGCTTGCATTGCTTCAAATTGACTTCGATTGTTTTGCCTGGAGTTGGATATTTTTTTTAGTATGAAGCCTTCCTTGCTAAAAATGGTGGATGCAATGACTCGAATTTTTTGGATAGAAGAATTCAGAATAAATTACCATCACTTCTTACTCATTCAAATGAAATTTCGCATTTTGTATTCACAAAATAAGATAAAATTAAATTTTCTATGTAATATGCTATTTGATAATTCAATTTTGGTGTATCCAACAAAAATGGTAAGAGCAATTTGAATATCACTCATATTGAATGTCATTTAAATTGATAAATTTTAAGTGACAGAAATATCACTTATGAAAAATTATTTGTTTTTTAATTACTATCTAAAAATTTCTATCACTTAAAATTCATATTTTAAAATTTTTAATTTTATCAGACATTATACATTAATTTTTATTAAAAATATATTTGTTCAATGAATTTGCTTCGAGATACATTAATGGTTGTTCCAGAAGTAAAATTTCCGCTTTTAGTTCTTATATGTAAAAGCATTGTTTTGATTAATTATCATCCAAATTGAAACCAAATTGTAATTTGATTGGTGGTGCGGTAATGGAGCCGTCAAATTGGGCGGCTGTCCATCCATTGGACAAAAATCATAAAATTGATATATCCTCAACATAAACCAGTCTTTTCCTATTTGCAGGAACAAGTTGTATACATTGGTTCGACAATTCTAAAATTGTGTTATAAAATACTCCAAAAGAATATTCAGAAGGTTACAATATAATTTAGAGCATTCTATGCTATTCTGCACACGCAGGTACACAATTCTACAAGAGTTTAGAGAATCTTCGTAATGGAGAATATTAATATTCATTTTTGCAGTCACGAGGAACTTGCTAATAAAATCTTTATTTTCAAAATAAAAAATAATAGAACCGGTGAATATTTTATTTTATTTTATTTTTTATTTAGTTAAAACAGATCTAAATGCTTGTTATTCCTAAAATTTTAATTTATCAAATGGTGTAAATTATTTTTTATTACAATTAAATCCTGAACACCCTCCAACATGCCTAAATGTTATTGCTTATAATTTTAAAAGTAAATAACATGTATCCTTGCTTGGGATGAGATTAAGATAACCAACCATTGAAGATATAAATATAGTGTGTTGCATTTAAAAGGAAAATGGTCAACTAATATTCCAGTGCCAAAACATATATCACAAGACACAAACTTTAAACAATTAAAAATGTGCCCCCAATGTCTGTTTTTCTAATTTTAAGAAAATCTTGCTGACTTTTCATGCTCAACTGGCCTTTCACAAAGTGGATCTTTTAAATTCTATATCATCATCACTCTTATCCAAAAAATGGATGAGCTCAAATTAATTATATCACATAATTGGATTGTGTTTCTTCAACCTATAAGTAGAGAAATTGGTCTAGGCAATATTTTAATAAGTGGAAAATCTTGAAGAATTTTAACAACTTATTTATTATAACCTTTGATTGGTAAATTTTTCCAGTTCAATAAAAACTTTTAACAATTTTTCATTGACCACCGAACCTTTTTTAAGTGAGTAAAATTGTAGTATAAAATTTCACTAATTAATTTCAGGGTCACTTAACTTGTGATGAATGATCTGTAATTTAGTCAATGCAAAGTCTGAGGTTACTTTGTCACTGATTCACACTGATCATGATCCAAAAGTAGGTAATTGATTACACAACCCATGGAAAAAATACATATTTACCGGAAAAAATATAAATATATTGATTTTTCTCTTTTCCCAATATGAATGGATATTATGTCTCCTTAAATATTTAATTTAAATTTTTTTTAAAAAAAATTACTTCATCTCTTGTGAATTTTAATCCTCCTCCGCTCATTTTATATTCAAAATAATTCTTCTTGTTCTAATCAGTCAGATCCATACTGTATATGACCATACTAACTAATCTATGATTTCATTTAAATCTCTTTTTGCATTTACCTATTCCTATATAAATTTCTATTCGGTTTATATAATAAAAGTATGTTAGATTGTCTAGCACCATTCTAATTCATGGGTGACAAGGTGATAAATGACAAGGTGATGAATTTGATTAGGGTTTGAGTTTCATTTTTAGTGACTATGGGTCCGCCCCATATGAAGTTGTGAAATTAAATTTAATTAAAGGATCATTTCCTTGTCCGTCACGTGCTTGTGGGGGCCATAAACAGATTGTTAAGTTGCAAATTGCAACAAATCAATTGATATTGAAAAGTACAGCTTTTGAACTTTAATGGTGACGTAATTGCATGACATATTTTTTTTTTTTGGGTCAGAAATCCTACCGTATCTAAAAAGAAAAAAAAGAAAAAAGAAAAAAAAGGAGAAGACCACACATACAACCAAAACAAACCACTGACTAACTACACTACCACAACGAAAACAACAAAACCCACAATGGCAAAACTTACTCGAATTAACATATATGACCAAACACACACAAGACACTTGACAAAGCAAATTACCATAGAATTAAACTATGGGTCCCAGTGTAATAATTCCCATACTGCAACAACAAGGAAGCAAGTTGCAGTAGCGTATGCTAGCATCTTGGTGTGACATTTGAGACATGTAGGTACAACTTCAAATGGAAAATGAAACAGTTCCAATCCAAGTTTATTTATTTAAAACTCAATAAGCTAAGTCCAGGCTTAATGTCCCCTCCAATTTCACTTTTTTTTTTTTCCTTTGTATTTAATTGGCTTTAATAATAAAATCTCACTTCATAATTATTTCAAAAAGTCCTTACAGGCTTCACTTTTAAAAAATTATATATATATATATATATATATATATATATAATTTTCATATATTACAAATTCAAGTGAAATGCGCAAGTGACAAAAATGGAGTGCACATATCATATTCCTAATAAATGTATCATTTTGTGCAAGATTAAGATAAAAAGAATTGACAGGTTCTTTGTGCATATTGGGCCTTTCTGTAACTCGTAATATAATAGATACTATAAATTTTTGCAAAGAGTTCAAATTTTGAACTTGGATTAAAAGTGATGTTACATAAAACTCCAATAGTCTTAAACCACTAAAAAAAAAAATTAAACAAAAAAAACTAGAACCAGTTTTATCCCATCTAACTATTGCATGGTCTTGATAAAAATCACAAAATGGACAAGTTCAAGAAACCGACCCTAAAGGCCATTCAATGAAGACTTGGTCAACTCCAATAGTCTTAAACCACTAAAAAAAAAAAATTAAACAAAAAAAACTAGAACCAGTTTTATCCCATCTAACTATTGCATGGTCTTGATAAAAATCACAAAATGGACAAGTTCAAGAAACTGACCCTAAAGGCCATTCAATGAAGACTTGGTCTAGTCTTCGAGAAGTTTCAAGGAAGATTGATTAAAAAAATACGAGAAACGTTGTTTGGTTCGTCTCCCTCTCTACAGTTGACTTCAATTTCAGCATTATTTAATGCGTCCATTGGTTCATCCTCCTCCTTCAACAAGTAATTGTTTACCTTAAACTTCATCATCATTATCATCTTCTTCATATACTACATATAAACATTTCATAATCTTTTCTACCTATATACTTATCGTTTGATTTTTCAAGTTCTGGTCAGAATTCTGAAAATGAAGGTGAAATTTCCCTCAACCCAAAAGCTCTGTTTTTCCCTCAACCCAAAAGCTCTGTTTTTTTTAACACGCGCACACACATACTTAAAGTCATGTATCTCTCATCCGATTCTTCTTTTATCAATAAACTAATAAAAGCGTCGATTTTGTTGTTTCATTTTATGTCATGTCCTTCACTTTGTCAGTCTGATTGGATTTTGGATTGTTTATATTGCTTTATGCCTTTATATGATCCCCATATATGTTCTTCAGATTATTCATATTTTGACAATTTTAAGTCCAACTCTTAGTGGGTTTTGCTTTTTTTAACTTCAGACTTCGTTCTGGAAAGAGAATCAAGCTAAAACTATCCCCATTTTCCGAGAAACAGCACGATTGTGACTTGCTCTGCATTTGCCCCCCTTTTTTTCAAATATATATATATATATATTGAATGTTTTTATTTATTCTAATGTTGCTTTAAAATCATAATCTTTGGGGGATGAACATGATTTCCAAAATCACTTTTAGACTGTCAAATTAATACGATTTTCCTTCATCACTTTGTTATGTTGGCCTAGTTTTTCTTTTTCCCCTTTGATGTCATTTGAATAACTCAGAATCTATTCTGATCCTTTCTATTTTGATGGGGATTTTGGTCTATTACTGAATTTTTTTTTTAATTGTTGTTCTGTTTATTGTCTAGTCTGATGGTCAATTACATTTTTTCTACGTTTTGGCTTTTGTTTCAGAAAGTTGTATTGAAATTGGATTTACATGATGACAAAGCAAAGCAAAAGGCCATGAAAGCAGTTTCCAGCCTTCAAGGTAGGTCTTGAAGTGGTTTACCAAAATCATAATTTATGTGTAGGTACTAACATAATATTATTTAATAATTTATTAATAAGTTTTGCTTGTCTAATTTATATAGGAGTTGAGTCCCTTGCTATGGACATGAAGGAGAAGAAACTAACAGTAATCGGCCATGTTGATCCAGTTGAAGTGGTCAGCAAACTGCGAAAATTGTTTCACGCAGAGATATTAACAGTTGGGCCGCCAAAAGAACCCGAGAAGAAGAAGGATGAGCCAAAAAAAGATGAAGCCAAGAAGGATGATGGTAAAAAGAAGGATCCAAATGAACAGATTGCGGAGCTTGTCAAGGCCTACAAAGCTTATAATCCTCACATGACACAATACTATTATGTCCAAAGCGTAGAAGAAAACCCAAATGCTTGTGTGATCTCTTGATCATGAGATCTATGAAAAGAGAAAGCTGAGGAAGTTTTGTATTCACTGGTCAGAAACTTGAATCGTGCCCAAGAGCCTATTTGAGACAGCAGGGAATAGCAGAGGTTCTGCTATGAATAGTTAATGATGGTGGATTGGGTAGGTTGATTTTCATTGATGTTTTTAGAAGATGTGATATATAGACTACAGTACAGAGCATAATAATAAATTTTGGAACTCATGAACATATAGTTGTTCATAATGATTGAGAGCTTGATGTTTTGAATGAATAAAGTTTAGATTTTTGAAACAATCTGTACATTGTGGCTGAGACTAGATTAAGAGCAGCTCTACTTTATCAAACAGTCGTTGAATTTGTTGGAGAATTTTTGGTACTCATGCTGCTTATGGTAGAAGACACTACACAAAAGTTTCAAGGTCGTTAATGTTATTATATATAATTGGCTTGTACAATTTTCTTTGCAATGTACGTCCCTAAGAAATCGTACCCGTGAAAGTATAGAGCCTCTATTTCTGCTCTGTGACCACTCTGAACCATTGCTGCCAATTCTTCCTTGTAACTATCCTGTCAAACGCATGACCTCATTTAGATTATGATCTTTGTTTAGCAAGAAAGGGACACGGAAAAAAAATAAAAATCTTTTTGAATCGAAGTTTTTAGGGAAACATGAGTTAGGATTCCTATGGTATTGGGTGAAATCAACCTGCAAGATCTCTGACGATATCAAGCTTTTGGCTATCTGAAGATCCCGTGGCTTCAATGGGACAAAGGACTGTTCAGGAATAAACTGTTGATCATCCTTGCGCAGTCCAAGCCACTTCACATTGCAAGCTGTATGACACACAGAAGTTAATGAGAATTGTTGAGTTCCAGTTAACACAGTAATTAAGGATAAAGTTCAATGTCACAAAAAGGAGAAAGCACCATATCTGTATGCTTCCAGGCCCATCCCTATGCTTCCAAACTTGAAGGTGCATAGTATGGCTAATCCGGCTGGATTCCTTGAAGAATTTTAGATTTGGAAGTTGTTGGTGAGAACAAATTGTACATCTGATGCAGTGACAGAAAGAAAGGTCACACATACCAGTCTACCAAACCCAAAATTGGCAATTCAGGAAAAGCTCGGCTCATTCGATGAAGAAGAAACCTGCTTGGCATTTTGAATCAAACATTAACATGACTGGGGAGCCAGGGAAGATAGAAGCAGTAAACCCGTTATGAGGCTTTGATTCAGTAAACAAGAAGTGTTCAGTTATAGGATTGTGACCTGTTTAAAGTTACCTTGTGGCAACATCTGGATATCCCTTGGCCGTGATAAGAATGCATGGAATTTGATTGAAAATACGATCCTCTGCCAGTCGCTGGAATATTGCATGCTAAACAAATATGGGTATTTTAATAATATGTTGCAACAACACTGACAAAGCCTCCATAAGTTGTTTATTAAAGAACTCAACCATCCAAATTACCTTCTCCACCATGATAATATACCGGGCATCTGTCTTCATGACTAATTTCTCCAGCAAATTCAGGTCACCAGAAATAGCATACCCAGACGATCCACATGAAGAACAGTCCACAACTTCTTGATTTGGCTCCTTTTTTTTTTTCATAGTTATGGAAGTAAAAGAAAGAGGCATAAGCCACAGTATCAATGTTTCACTGAAAAAAGGGTGCCGGTAAATGATAGATAAGGAACAAAAAAGCAGCAAAGAAATTTTGAGACTAAGAAATTTGAAATTCAAATTTCATCAACTAGTTACCCTCATTTACACAAACAAGGTTTCAGATTCAGAAAACTACTCATGAATCAAGTGTCTTAATCAAAAAGGAAATGAAAAGGGAACGTAGCAAAAAAAATATCATTAGAATTGAAGAGCATTGCCTCAAATTTGATGGAGATAGCACATCCACAGAAAATGATCAAGAAGTAACCATCATTGGGAATTATGCCCTATCTTTCTGATTTGGAGTCAGAACTGCACAATGAGTTTATTAAGAATACTACTTGTGAACCCTAATACAGGGCATGTATCAAATGCTGGTTCAAATAAATCAATTTGGTCTATCAAAAAGGCATTAGATCAACAAGATAATCCCATATCACAAGTTTTCAAGCGACTATTTATGACATGCAAGTACTGAAACACAACTGCACAAGTTGGGGGAAACTATGGAATGTGTAATACTTAAGGGTAAAGATGTATGCCTGCAGCAAAAGGCGACCAGCAACAGCCCCTCTACTAGATGCCATGATCCCAAGACTGTAACGGCTGCATCGAAGCAACGCCACCACATCTGTTTTGCATTCAAATATTAGTATCCAATACATAAATAGATCTAATATATAGCCACATATTAGTACACGGATGATAAAAAAACAGTCTTAATGGAAATGGCAAAGAAACAAGGAGGGAATGTGACCTTGAATAGTGCTATTGACTTGCAATTGAGATGTGAAATAGTCTGGCGATTTACAAAGCAACTGGTAGAACATCTCTCTCTGTGTGAGTCTCTTTTCCTGAACCAAAATCTGGTAACACATCTCCATCACCTTCCACACTATATTAAGGAAGAGAGAGAAGTAAGAAGGCCACGGACTCAGGAAAGGAGAGGCCATAATTCTACACACACACCCACACGCCCACACACACACACACACTTGTATGCATATAAATATATAGATGCTTTTGTGCTGAATATTTTGAGGAATAAAAAGCAAAATGAGTAAGAACATCTACCTCTAATAAAGGCTCTAGCAGTGTTTTCTCTCATCAAAGACCTCGTGCAAAAGGAATGAGAGAGAAAAATCCACGAAACATCAGTCAGCAATCCCCGACTCACTCGGCTATTACTCGACCTTCTACTAATCTGTTTCATTCAAATCGCCCATTCATATACCTAAAACAACTTGAACGAAGAGTTCGTTTTCGCTTCAAAGCTTAATAATAATCGTCAAAATTAATCAAATTATGCACTTTTGGGAAGAATTGGAACAATCAAATGAAAATGTCCATTCTGACATCAAAAACTTCAAATTTTGTAAACAGTAATCAAATTATGAACTGATGAGAAGAATTTGGAACAATCAAATGCGAATGAGAAGAATTTGACATCAACAGCTTCAGAATTCGTCAACATTAGTTTAAATTTTGAAGCAATCAAATGCGCATGCCCATTCAGACATCAACAACTTCAGAATTTCAATTTAGGCGTTTTTTATGAGAAATTGAAGCAATGTAATGTGAACAAAAAAAGGCACAAAAGTGAGAAATTTCAAACCAGAGAGAGATCTGAGATTGCAGGAGTCGGAGAACTCAAGATCTTAAGGAAATTAAGCACTGCTACTTCAATTCTCGCTCGGACCTAACACAAAACTTCAACTTCAGACACAACAATACACACACACAAATACATATACGTGTATATACGTGTGTATATAAATGTGTGTGTGTGTGTGTGTGTATAGGATATGTACATGTATGAGAGGTACCTCTGAGGGAGGAAGGATATCGGCATAACAGAGATGTTGATCTGAGAAGAACATCATAGAGGATTTGCAGAGATCTCCCATTTTCTTTCTTGTTACTGTGCAGCGAATAGATCACTAGTGCGCGCGAGTGAGCGAGCGAGCGGACTCATTCAATTCTTTTTTTTATTTTTATTTATATTTATTTATTTATTTTGGGTCATTCAAAGGCACAAAAGTCAAAAACCAAGATAGCAAAAGCATATAAATCTTGAAACAAAGTAAATAAATGAAGAATAAACTTCAAATTTGTGGAGAAAATAAAGTCCAATACTTTAAAAACGGAACTACCATGGATTAACTTTAACAAAAAGTCTATTTTAGTTGTTCAATTTTCTATAATAACATTTCATTTTGTTGTAATTCAAAAGGTAAAATAACACATGATACATATGGAATACCCTAGTGATAAAAAATAAAAAAATCTTACATTTTCAAATTGAGTAAATAAGAATATTTTGTCAATTTAAAAATTAGAATACTTAAAATGGCTTTAAGATAAAAAATAAAAATAATAAAAAAAAAACCACTGATTTCATGAATCACTTTTTGGAGTTTTAATAATAATAAAAATCAAAATTGACTGTCAAGGACAATTTAAACTTATTTTTAAATATTACTAATTTATATACACATAGTACACTTAGTAAACTGTATCGATATTTTTTTTGCATGTTTTTTTGCACCTTACCTTAATTGAAAAACAAAAATCAAAATTTCATTTGGTAAATAGTTTTTTAAAAGGTAAAATTAAACAAATGTTTTGTAGTTCTTAAAACTTCCAACTATACACAAATCAAGAGGGGTTCATAGAATCATATTATTAAGAAAATCAGAGAAGTCCAAATAAGCTTTGTACCAACATCACATACCATTCATGAGTGAAGCATCTTTCGTGTTCATGAGTGAAGCATTTTTCGTGTTCATTCATTCACATGGATTCAAGTAATTGTCCAATGTGATTATCTTCTTTCTTACCTGCTAATCTTTTTCAGAATTAATAAATTTTTTATTGCTTAATGAGAACTTGTCACATTCCCTTCTGGTAAATACTATTACACATCATATAGATAATTCTACATCAATAATGCCATGAATTAGGTAATTGTTGATTTCATGGATATATAGTTGATGCTAGCTAGTTACATCAACCTTTAGTTTATATATATATATATATATATATATATATATATATCAAACATCATCAAACACTCTGCTGGTTCTATTAGTATCCACCAGTTGCAGACAGTCTTCTGCTTTGCTTTCACCAAGCAAAGCAGCCACAGCACCTACCATAGCTGCATTCATGTAAGTTGTAGGTTCGGAGTGAGAATAGTCCGATCTCTGATCATTGAACTCGTCGTTCGAATTGGGACCTCCAACGATTGCACCCACATGAGTATTTGGATTTGGTTTGGTAGAAGAGTACCAGGTTGAATAGCCGGCATTGCAGCCCACCTTGTCCGGGTGAGCTTTGATCGAGGGGATGGACGCGCCTCTGTGGTGTATCTGCAGTGGGTATTTTCTGCCAAATCCCACCATGTATGACATATTTTTAGGGTTGTTTCCTAGTATGTAGTCCACCTGAAAGTCCATACATAGTGAAAAATTATGAATCCAATGTTTCCTCCACTCTATAGCTTGAATGGCCTAATATTGGAGAATTAAGCCACATGATTCTCTTACAAATGTGCTATATGGTCATTTTATGATCTCAATGATGGAATTCTATGGCCAATTATTGTATAACTGCATAGGGTGTTACCAACCTGCGATTTTGCGAAGGCCCTGACTTGAGAGGTGGAGAAATGCTCAGAGCCACATTGGACACCAGAAATGTGAGCTCTATTTAGGATCTTAGAGTAAATCAAGAGCACCATGGAAGCACTGGTGACATACTGTAAATTACTACTGTCTCTAGTAAACAGAAGGCCACCTGCAAAGAAATCAGTAACTCAAATCTGTTTGAAAAAAGATACTAAAAAAAATATATTTAAGTTCAAATATTTGATCATCCTATGAGTACTTGTTGGACTTAAAATTAGGATTTTTACCAGGGGTTATATGAAATTGTGAAGAGCTACTTCCCGGCATTAAGGCACATATAAATGAATCAGCATCACTCTTAAATTTTCCCAAATTTTTCTTCCCACCAAAGAATTCCTGAAAAACAATCTCATTAGTTAATTCATTTTTTTTTTTTTTGGTTTCTCTGAACAAGTTGAATGTGAATTACTAGTCAGTAGTTTGATACCTTCGCGAGCAGTGTCTGAGCTCCAGCAAATTTGTTATCCCAACTGAATTCTGACACTGCCTGACTCCACCCTTCGTTGCTCGAGACATAGTTCAAGTAGCTGGTATCTCCACTTGCCTTGTATAGCCAAGTTCCAGCCCATAGCAGCTCATCCTATTAAAAGACATACAAACCATAATCCGATGATGGGTTAGAGTGAGGACAATTCTTGGTAAAACGATTATATGCTGCTCGATTTTCACCTGATATCCTGAGTAAGAGCAGTAGAAAGGGCAAGAACCCGTGTAAGATCCTCTATAATTGTCTGCAAATTTGAACAACTAAAGAACCATCTCAAGCTAGTTAGATGAACAAAGCAATAAGAGATTGTTTGGGCATAAATAGACTTAAAAAAATTATATATTTCTCACCGATTTTGATTGGTTTAATAACCTTGCAGAGTATTTAGGCTCAACCACTTTAAAGACAATTGAAGCAGCAGAAAGAGCAGCAGCAGCCTCAGCTGCTGCCTCGGTGCCTGGTGAACTAGAAGTGATCTTGTAAAGTGTTCTGTAAGTGTCCATGTCCTCAGGGCGCTCCCAACACTGATGATCTTTGTCGCCATCTCCTACCTAAAAAACCGAGATAGATATATAGATTGATGAAGCAAAAGTGATTATTATACTCTTGAGAGAATCATCCTAATACAATCAGAATAATTTGTTAGGAAATATAAGGGAAAGAGGAGGACCTGAGTGTAGAGCGTGGTGGGTGAAGTGTGAGAATGCAAAATGAAATCGGCACCCCAGCGGATTGCTGTGCGAAGGTAGCCAAGCCGGTTGATGGAAGATATATCTTCCTGATACTCAACAGTAGCCCAACTCAACAAGCTAACAGTAAAGGCCATCGGCCACCCAAACTTGACATTGTCACCGGCATCATAGTATCCTCCAATTAAGTTCACCTGCCAAATTCACACCATAGACATGTTCAAATTAAGCCAATTTAAACTGGCCTAGGATACTCTATGCAGTATACCATTCTTGATCTATTCTGATTTAGTACTACCTAAAATTCATGAAAACTTTACAAACTAGCAATGTTTCTAAAAAATGCACAGTGCGCACTAGTAAAACTCTTCAAACTTGGTTGATTAAGAGGGCGTGTAGTCGCGTTGGCCCTTAAGCTTAGGGGCACCTAACAAGGTTTTGGCTCAAAAATTTAACCAGCCAACCATACAAGTGCATATATCAGTGTGACATTTTCCATATATACTTGAATGTTTCAAGTGTTAATATGTGCATACATGTATTGTATATGGGTGCATATGTCCCAATTTCATATCATCTGGACTATGATCCAATTTTTTTCCTCTGTTTATATGTTCAGAAAATTATTTCACCATTGGGGCGGTTAAAAATGTTACTATACATTATCAGGCTTGCCATCAGAGAGTGCAGAGTCTCCCCTCCACTTCACTCTTTGGCCTGCTGGCAATTTTCCGGAGCGTTGTCCTTCAAAGAACAAGATGGCTTTGTCGAGTGCATTTTTATAATCAAAATCTGCAGAACAGACTTCATGGTCATCCTCCAAGGCTCGTGCACTCGGACCAGCCAAGATGCAGCACAATACCAGACCCCAGAGTGTTCTACCACAGGCCATGGTTGGACTCCTAAGCTGCAGGGGTGTGTTCCAGTCTGGTTTGTATTTATAGTGCTAGTTTTCTAGAAATGCCCTTGCATTTATCTTCCTTCGAATGAAATAACTGTTACATTCTTCTCAAAATGCTGTAATATTTCAATGGAAGCCAAGTAATTACATGGGGAGTCTGGATCCTCTGCTGCTGCAGTGGCCCCTGCTATAGTGGTGTTGTAGCGTTTTTCAACGTATATGTTTTAGTTTTCAACGAATTTGTTCTAGATTTTAACATTTTTAGTCTATACATATTTTAACAAATGTTCTATGTGTTAAAACAGGATTTAAATGTGTCAAGAAATCTCTTTTCAACATCGTTATTTCTAGTTTCAACGCACTTAAATCGTGTTTCAACTCCAGAACAAATTTGTTAAAAATTAGAAGAAATGTGTTGGAAAAACTTTACGATAAAAACTTTACGACACCACTATAGCAGGAATGTGTTACAGCATAGGATCCGGACTCGGAAAAAGGAAAATTAGACGTGAATGATGATGAATTCGGAGAATGGACATCGCGTGAGGGGCTGAAAAAGTGTTGGGAAGTGATTAGTTAGATCACAGAAATTATACAAAGCCATGGAGTGAGATATGAACCACCCACTCCCTCAACGTCATTAGTTGCTGACATTGCTAAGCAGAAGCAATCTCAAATGCTCTTAAGACTTTCTTCACTGTCCATATTCTTTATGTTAAAGTCATGATGGAGTAAATGTTTCAAATTTAATTTCAATTAAGAATTTAAGGCTTGACTTTACAACTCTAACTTCATATTTTAAACCTAATGTAATCCACATTAGTTCATTTAACATGAGAGTTTTGCTTAGTTAAAACTGATGTAATCACACTTGTTCATTTAACATGGCATTTATACATTAAAATTTTAAAGTTCATTAAATGGTCAGTTAAACATGTCTTCTATATGCAAGTATAAATAGTAGGCACTCGAAACCTACAAGTAGTGATACACTAAAAAAATAATATTAATAAATAAATAAAGAAAAGAATCAAGTGTGAAAATTTTAAGAGTAGAAAAAAGTTTTTAAAAAAAAGTTTTTTCAAACAGTTGAGTTTAAGTATGAATACGTGGGATTTTGAGTTGATGGGACAAAAACGAATATATGAGTTCACGAAAGAGAAGTGCAACCTTCGTAAACATAGAAGCTCCAAATTTAAATTTAGTTGAATTTCGAAAATAGTGCTGACATTTTTTTTTCGTTTGCACGTTTAAAAAAAATCAACTATCTTAAAAAGCAATTATATACCTTTAAACCTTGATAAAATTTATTACAATAATTTTGATCTAATAAGCCATTTGGTTAAGAAAAAGGAATAAGGAAGGCGAAGATTTGAAGTAATTAATTACTTGGAATGTCAATCATAAAACAACCAAAAAGATTAAAAAGTTGGATTTAGAAGGTGAAGATTCCAGGAAATTTCGTGGAATGTCGTAACAAAGGGAGGGGGAACTGGATTTGACATGTGATGATGTTACTACAAGTCTTCACAACAAAGCAGAATTTATGCAGCCAACTCAAATTAAACAGGATATTTCGGTTGATTTGAGTTAAAAAAAAACTTACATGCATGCTTGTAAACTTTTTTTAATATATATATATATATACACACACACACACACTTTTGCTAGGCTAATATGTATACATGATTCAAACTCATTGATGAAAAGGGTACTAAAATCAGTTATCTAATTACACATCAAATGGAAGAGAATGATCTCCATCAACAAGAAGTAGGGTAGAGTCAGAATTTTAATTTAAGAGGGCATAGTGAAAAAATAATGAAAAGAAGAATAAGAAGAAGAATTTTAAGTGGTTGAAGAAAGAAGAAAAAAGAAAAAAGAATGACATAACTTTGAAAAGAAGAAGAATTGGAGCCAGACTGAAGAAGGAAAATTTTACTTATTTAAATAAATTTAAAGAGAGAAAGAGGAAAATAATAAGAAAAAATTAAAGCGAATTTTAGAAACTAAAATTATTTTAAGGGGTCATTATATATAAATTTTTATATACATAATAAAAAATTTGGGCGGGACTCATCCAGAGGGTGCACACTCCGCCCTGACAATAAGTGACATTCAATTATTGCGAAAATTTTTTGCTTGTGCGTGCAGAATTCCCCGAAAAGTAATCAAATATAAAGCATAATGTTGTCACAGAATAAAATGATATCCATACGGTTAGGAAATATCTTAAACAACTTGCATGTTCTTCTAAAAAATATTCTTGTCTTCTAAATAAAGTATTAATGTAGTATGGAATTAATATTATTTATTTATTTCCTATTGTTTTTTTGCTATCATTGATGCGATCATTAGACAGCATTGATAGGATGGCTCTGTTGCTCATTCAATTTGCCAATTATCCGTATTGGCTGTAGCAATATATACATACAACATATACTCGCACATATAAATATTGTTAAATATATATAGTGCATTATATAAATAAATTGTTTAACATTTCAACCAGAATTTTCAACCACGTGATTATGCCAGTTGACATGGTCTAGGCTATCTTTTTTCTAAACCACCACAACAGCACTTGACTGGTCTATATCTCTCCACATACCTTGTTCTTTACAATTTCTATACTTTGTAGTGCGTGAGCATAACATGATTCAACTTGTATGTGTGTGTGAGAGAGAGAGAGATGTGTGAGAGAGAGAGATGTGTGTGTGTGTGAGAGAGAGAGAGATGTGTGAGAGAGAGAGAGATGTGTGTGTGTGTGAGAGAGAGAGAGAGAGAGGAGAATTCCTTAGTCATTGCATGCTTCTTGATGGTAACGATGCATATATGTAACATTTTGGGCACGTCTAGCTCTTTTAACAGGGCAGTTGAACAGAAGTAGGTGGAGTGTAGTTGGCTTTATCATGAGTACAAGCTAGGGTCTCCCTACATTTAGAAGGAAGCCCTCTCCCTCTCTCACTGTGTGTGTTTGTGTGTGCATGGGACTGTCCAACCTCTTCTCACCAACCACCATGTATCTTTGAGCTTCACACATAAATCCTCCAAGTACATTAATTCTTACACTTCCATTCCCAGTGAAGTCTCACAACCTCCAATGGCAAATAACAACAATCTCCATCTCTTCACACCTTCACTCCCATCAACCACGTTGAACTCTCATTCACTTGTACACCAATCCACGCAAAACTCTCAGGTTGCTTTGGACATCGACTGGGCTAGCCTCCTATTGGCTTCCACCGCGAACGGTGGCCAAAAGCCACTGTCGACGCGGAGTTTGTCATCACTAACATCTAGTAATGTAGTTGAAGGAGAGAATGGTGGCAGAAACAGAGGAAAAACAGGTGGTAGGAGCAAGAAAGCCATTCCACCAAGGATTGCCTTTCATACGAGGAGTCCTGAGGATATTCTTGACGACGGTTACAGGTGGCGAAAATATGGGCAGAAAGCTGTGAAGAACAACATCCATCCTAGGTAACATTATCATCCTTCCTCACTTTTACGGTAGTATATATCATCAGTATGACTAATATTTCATGAAACTCTATCACAATAATATAAAGCAAATCCCCGATGGGAAATCATATTCCACACACACACAAACACACATATATATACAAGAATAGGAAAGAGCCTTGACAGTCCAGGAAATGCATGGAAAACAGTCTGCCTAAGTAGGAACTGTTTCCAAAAAGTAGTTCACTATTAGGTTTTGTTTTATTGCCCAACTCCAACTAGCTAGAACGAGAATTTGCTATGCTTATTAATTTAGGGGTGCCAAATGAGTCACGACTCACCAACCCGTTTATATTAGCCCGTTTTAAAATGAATGTTAGTGAATTATTTTAAAATAAGAATTAAAATAGGTGATTCATATTCAACTCATTTTTATGGAGGGTTATATGGATTGAATATAGGTTACCTATTTTGATCCATATTTCACCCATTATATAAGAGACTTAGTTTCACAAACTCTATTTGACTCAAATTCACCTCTTTATTTTTAAAATTCTCACATGATTCTAAATTCTCTCTCTCCCCCACTAAACAAAACGAAATGGTTCATCTCTAAAATTCTCTCTGTATCATGGACTCCCGTGTATGTATACTGCGGCTCAAAAGAAACCTATTTGTATTTCAAAGTAGGATGATCTAATTTATTCATTTAATTATTTATTCTATAAAAAGGTTAATAGATAATTTCATATATATATATATATATATATATATATATATATAATATCTTACATTCGTGCATGTTTAAGTCACAAAATAAAATAATATAAATTTAAAGAATTTTCAAAATAAATTAGAGGATTTATAATTATCCATACATATTTTTACAAGCTTTTATCCATCTAAAATAAAAAACTATAATAATTGTTATATTTATATATATATATGGATTGAGAGAATTTGGTACTCTGGTTTGAATTATGTGTATAGTTTCAACGTGTATATAATATTGTAGGTGTGAACACATTAAATACATACAAACAAGTTGTTTCCTTAACTTGCTTTGTAAGCTTGGCTTATGGCTATATATATATATATATATATATATATATATATATATATGTGGGTATTGGTGTGTACAGAGATGTATAGAAAAAGCAAAAGGAAATAAAGAAAGTTTTCTCTCTCTACATTCTATCATCTCTCAAAGTTCTTTGTTTTGATATTTTTGTTTACGGTAATTAATGGATTATCCAAAATAATAATATTTTTTTCTTAAAACGGGTTGACGGGTTGACTCGGCCCATTTTTATCCAACTCATATTTAACCCGTTACAAACCGCCCACATTTAACCCTACCCAAATCCGATCCAACCAGCCCATTTGGCACCCCGACTTATTATATCTTAAACAACAGATTTTCACTTCACATTAGGTCGTCACTGTTAATCATCACATTCCATATTGTTTTCTTAATCAGTTTTCCCACACTGATTTTCGCAATCAATACGAGAAAGTAAAACCCTCACCATAAAATTTCAAGATAAATAGGTCTCTTCCATTTAATTTTGCCTTGATTTTCTTCTTGTTTTGCAAATAATATCCTCACGCTTCTTTGTACCATGTATAACACCAACAAAGGAGCTACTACCGTTGCACGCATCATACATGCAATGTGAAGAAACAGATCCAACGGCTCTCAAAAGATACAAGCGTTGTCGTGACAACATATGAAGGCATCCACAACCATCCTTGTGAGAAACTCATGGAGACCTTAAGCCCTCTGTTGAAGCAACTTCAGTTTCTCTCCAGATTCTAAAACCAGTCAGTATCATCATAGGACAAAAGTCACATGTTGTTAGACCTGCCGTTACCTGTTTTACATCTCTAATGCTGTATAGGAATGCAACAAAAAATATATATCTAGAGTGTAAACAAGGATGGAATGCTCATAGTGTACATATCTCTCTCAATTTATACATGCTCCTCGGCATTACATATGGCAAAATACTTAAAAGAGGGTAACTTTTTTTTTTTTTTTTTTGGGTAAATAAAAAAAAAATGCAATATTATAGTAATGGTTCTTTTGTCAGCTTCAAGATTCTAGAGACAATAAGATAAAAAGAATCAATTGGATATTCAAGTAGGGATACAAATAATTAGGTAGATGAACAAATTAACATAAGTTTCTTAAACCTCTACAAAAGATACTCAGTAATTTCTCTGGGTTAAATAAAATAGCAGTCTGAAAACTTATAGTTGATTAATTCCTTTTAACAAAACAGAATCCTTTTCATTTTTTATTGTTAAATTTCTAGGGTTGGCGGCAAAATAAAAACTGCAAAGGCTGTTGCAAGGCAAATACCCTCACTATTCTCACCAGAAGAATGGAAAATACAAGTTGATAAAAAGAATTGTGCTCTGTTCTCATAGTTTCAATGACACCCTATTTCTTATTCCATTTAAAAATAAATAAATCAATCAATCACTGCTGACATTTACACATTCTTCAAGCAAACAATTAAGGAGTTCTTAGTTGTTACCACAGCTCTTGAATCATCTTAATCTTTTTTAGAGGAAATGAAGATGGCAGAATAAAAGCTTGAAACTATGAGAAGAAGCCGAGGCGTATAAAATCATTTACCTAATATAGTGTACAATGGGAAGGATATATCTATTTAGGTATTTAAATCATCTCATTGAGGCAATTTGCAAGATAAATTGTGCAATGATCGGAAACTTCTAGACTAGGGTTCTCAAGAAGAATCTCCCAAGAGTCTCCTGAATGAGAATCTGCATGACAATTTGCTTATAAAGGGAATGTGCCTAACTCATGGCCATGCCTTGTAAGTAGTACTTTTCTTTCACCTACCCATTCTAGCTGATAAGATAAGTCAAGATTATGAGTCAAGAGTTTTGACCTGTCCGTGTCACTCTGATCTTTTGCATTCTCCTACACAAAGAAAGGATAGAGAACTGTTAAATCTCAAAAAGCTAAAAGATTAAGGGCCACTTGGGTTTAGTATTTAGTATTCTGAAAAATGTTTTCAAGAACTCAAAACCAGAGAGCAAATTTCAAAGAACTATAACAGACATCTCTCTTAAAACAAATATTTTACAGCTAAGTTTTCAGAAATAAACCAAACAAACTTTCATACTGTAAACTGTTGTTCAGTTCACTGAAACAAAAAACAGTTGTCAAAAAAAATAAACCAAACAGGCTCTAAAGCTCTTGTACAGTGTCAAAAAAACCAGATAAATGAACTGAGAGACATCCAACAAGATCGTTTATGCATGGAGGTTGGTGTATGCAGCTTAATAGTCATACACCCATTATGTAATGACACAAAAAACAGAGAATGGAAACACAAGCCAATGGACATGGCACCCAAGCAAGATCAGGGGCCACGCTACCATCAGAAATATACTAGTGCCCATGTGAGAGAATTTTTACAAATTCTCCAAGACAAAGATTGTGGATACAAAGGAGGGTGAGGAACCCAGTCTTTATTTGGTGAATTCTGTCGACTGGATATGGAGAAGATAATACTCGATGTTAGTCAAAAGGTATTACAATATATTGTTTTATTTAGGGAACTTACCTCTACAAGCTGTTTAGCTTATAGCTTGGCTTATATTGTTTATTCTCATAACTCTCCTCCACATTTTACTTTTATTTACCTTTTTCTACTGTTGTTCTTTCTGGTTGGCTTCATTGGATCTTCTCTTGAATTTCCTCAATTTTTTTTTTTTTTTTTTTTCCATGCATTTCTTTCTTCACAAATTCATGTCTTACTAAGAAAGAAAGCTTAATATATTCTGTAAATTCCCAGTCCAGTTAATCCTTAAAAAAATTCATTCTAAAAAGAATTATGTAGTTCTAACTCAATTTACCCATTGACATCGGCTCATCTACTAATACTATCCAGTCGTTGAACACTTACAACATGTGACTTCTTGAATATTGATTGTAAATTCACTTCTACAGATCTTCTAACACCAACTACCATCCCATGGTCCACATTTAATTATCAATAATGTCAATACATATTTTTTATACTCCTATCTTGAAAAATCTCTCATCTTCCTCAAAATCAATAGAAACCATATGGATGTCTTTTTTCTTTATACAGTACCATCAGCCACCAAAGTAGGAAATATTGATCAGTCATAACAAGCAACAAATACCTTTTGAACTAAAGCATTCTAGTGTCAAGAAAAAGGAAGCCCTTTGATTCGGGTTGTGCATCCTATTTCTTATAAATGTGACATTATCAAACAAAAAAGTTCAATAAATGAAAAATAGGATTTTCACTCGTCAAAAGTAAGAAATATCCAAATCAAAAGCACAAAGGAGGAAAAAGTATAGATGATTCTTTGCGTGTTTTAACTCATTCCCATAAGATGATTCACATCTTAGTTGTTGAGACCAAAAAGAAAAGTCCTACAGGTCAAAACTGTCAGAGCATGGTGGCAAAAAAGTTCAGGCATGTTATTGTCTACCAAAATAAAAAGAAAAATGAAAAAATAGGTCATGTAACCTGTGTACCATCTATCATCATATATTGGATTAAACAACATCTAAACAAATTGTTATAACAATGGGTATGTGCCATTGCAACTCCTTGCAGCAATATCATAGCAGCATATTAAGTTTATTATTGTCATTATCTTCTAATTACTCAAAAGGGGGGCCTTCTAAGAAAAAGGAGGAAGCAAATAAATCAGAAACTATACCTATGAATTTAAAGACACTCAATATAAGAAATTTACCTGTGAATTGGACTGTCTATCATGTCCCGTTATGCTTGCCATTATGCTTAACCTTGTAGAATTAGGTGATAATCCCTCCCACGGGGGAACAAAGATCAGTTTGGTGCACTGGACTGGAGCAAGGTTTCGACTGAGTTTCTCCCACCACACAGATTCCAGTGACCACCATCTGATCATCAACCCATGCTCAGAAAAAGCAACTAGACCCTGAAATTTAAGACATGTAATAAATTTTACAAGAATGGAACCTAATCGCTCATCACAAAATGATACTCTATTGTTACAAATGTTTTGACTCATTCATCGTGCCAGAAAAAACACAATACAAGCCCCAAATGTTTTCATAATATAATTTGAATACAAACATAACAGAAAATCTAGTGTGATGCAACTGAGAAATAAAAGCTAAAAACATACTTTGTGGTAAGCTCTAAAGTCCAAGCCCCAAGGATTCATTTTAAGTGGAAATACATTAAAAGATTGACTGGTAATTGAAGAAAAGATGTGAGAAAGGTTTTTCCTGAAATGTTATAGGCTACACAGAATGCAGTTGGTATAAATATCATAGTGAAAGCTGAAATAACAATGAACTAAATTGCTTAAACTAGTTCAAAATACAATTAACCAGAATATGGTAATGGAAACACTGCACTATAGGTGCATGTATGCCACATTTTGTTTCCAGAGAAAAGGAAAAAAAAAAAAAAAAAAAAAAAATTCAAGGTATGCATGAGAGGCCTAGTTGGATCCAATGTCCTACTGCATGCATGCTAGACCCCCTTTAATTACTATTCTTACAGAATATTGCCCAGTTGATTGATATATGTGCACTAGCAATGGAGTTTCCAAAAGGGTTAAATTTGTCAGGTCAAAAACCACTCAACAGAACTGAACCCACAAGCCTCGTTATATTTCAAATCTAATACCTAATATTCTAACAACATTAATATATATGAAAAACTAAAAATAACAGTTTTTCAGGAAAAAGAAGTCGTCAAAATAATAATTTAGTTGGATGCAGGACAATCAGGTCTGCAATCCAAGTCATGCCAATGAGATGGGGTAGACTGATAGATTCACAGGTTTGGGTCATTTGCAAGCTCTAAGAATCCTATACCTAATTATCTGCCAATCTCTAAGGGATCATTGCTGTGCAGTGGTAAAAGTTCATCTGTCAACAATGAGAAAATACATCAAGTCTACGGGCATTCACTTTATGCAAATAATACCAAAAGTTGTGTATCCGGTTCACCCCTCTAAGCTTCCTAGATTAACGCCACACTGAGAAAAAGCCTTTCCAAATGCATGTCATATTGTCACATCCAATGATGCCACAGAAAATGGACGCCATTTCATCAAATACCAGGAGAATGGAAATTGGGTTCATGCCTCATGAGATTTATTGAGCGAGAGAGTTACCTCTCCATCTGGTGAAAAGCTTAGAGCTGATATAGCAGTAGTTACCGCCATTTCCAGATCTCCTCCTAGCAAACTTGGAAGTCCTGGAGGTCCACTTGCATCCAAAATCTTTATTTTCATCGCACTACATTGGAAAGCAGAAACACATATAAGGAGTTAGAAGCAGTTACAACTTTTTCAGTTGTTTTCAAGCAACAGAACTGCATGGATGTATGAGCATTACAATGGGATATGTTTTAAAGCTTGTCTCCCTTACTTTAGATATAAATAGGTGGTCCTGGAATTCGTTGGGATAATAAGCCTTGACATCAAAAACTTTTAGCATCGTCCTAAATTTGGCTATACCAAATTTCAACAACGTTTGTATAGAATGTGGAAGAGTTTGTAGGGTTTCAATCTATGGTTCTTTAATGCAAATATGCTTATATCATACAATAAAAGGAAAACCTAATATGGCAATTTATTTTGCCAAATGAAAGTCATAGTTAAGTATAATTCATATTGCCTAATAATTAATAAAATATGCATATACCTTGAGTTTTAGCTATTAGAGAACCTAATCTATACATATATAATGTAACCATTCACTTAATGTGCTACTACATAAATATTACATAATTAAATGTAAATACAACCAAAAAAAATTGTATCAAATTATGGCTCTATACAGAGTGATATGGCAAAGTGGGATTCAAGTCTTCTTGAGAATATATTAAAAAAGAAAAAGGCAACCCACAAGATGAATAATACTTGCACATTTATTTGATTAGACAAAGTAACAAAAGATATGCACAACCCTCATTCCCAGGGGAAAAAAAAGTGTCTAACATCTTTTATTACCTTTGCATGTCATATACCCGAATACTGGCATTGTTAATCTCTCCAATGGCATCCCCAACAGCTAATCGCGTTGACATGTCATTCAGGGCTACCATAGGATATACACGTACGATTTCCTTCAATGCTGTCATTGAACTCTGACGGCATGTTTTGCGCATGACTGAGTTGCCAGGGTCCATAGTCTGTAAAATGAAGTTAACTACCTGCAAATCTGTCCAAATGTTAGATATTAACACTCAAGTGCCCAAACACTTCAATTCTTAGCAATAGAATGCATTTAAAATATTTATTTATTCAGCACCATAATTAACTGTTACTGACAGAAAATTGTTCATTAAGAATATAAAGAAGTAGGAAAGGTCAAAATTTGGTGAGCCGGAACAAAACCTAGATGGCTAGTAAAAACAGCAAGTAACCGTAGCATGATGAATAATCAAAGAAGAAAATGATAAAAGAATATAACTTTATATAATTTAAAAGGGGTGAACGGTCACCAATATAATATATATATATATATATATATATATATATCTCAATAAAAATGACCATCTAACTAAAAATACTGACAAAAAAATTTGTGCAAAAACATTACACATTTTATATAATGAATACTTAAGTCAGCAGGACCCATCTATGTCTTTAGAAATTTTCTAACCGAGGATGGAAAACGTTGATTACTAAAAATGTCACAAGCTATCTTAAGTCCAATTTCTGCAGATTTAATGAATAATAATAACTTTGTTTTGTTTTAGAAGTTCAAACAAAACCCCCAAAGTACACTTCTCTCTCTCTCCGCTCTATTTATTTTCAGACTGTATTCACTCTCTTAAATTATTGGAAAATAAGACCCAACCTTTTAAAGGAAAATTTTGTTTGAGTACCAAGTATGGTAGATATGTAGCATCGTGATAGCAATGATAATCTGGAAACCATAATTCGAGTGTACGGTATCTGAATCCAACACTAACAAAATAATGTAATTTTTAAACTTATTTAAATTCACATATCGTGGCTTACCAAAAAATAAAAAATAAAATTTAAAATTTAAAAAAATCATATATCATGATTATAACAAAGATTCTGATATATGGTATACACAATTGACCCAATATATAAAAAAATCACTTATCATGACTATATTTGTAATGCAAATAGAAAATTGGCATACGATAAAGCAGTGTATCAAACTATCAATAGTACTTCTATCATTCATTATTAATGAATATGATAAAATAAATGTTGAATGGTCTAAACCATGTGGCCCCACAGTTCACAGCATAGGAATTTAAATTGCAAGTGCTACTACTTTTAATTCTTTAAAATGAAGATGGAAAGTACTCCTTGCCTATAAAAATATTGGCTCTACATACCTTATCAATGTATTGAGCTAAGTTTCTCGGAGAACCACGTACGACCCTGATAAGAGTCATGAGGGCAACTACATGAACAGGGGAATCAGATGCAGTAGACCAAATTTGACTTTCAATCACATTTAGAAACCCCAGAATATCAGCCATTGCTAAACTCGGAAGAAGAATCCCAACCAAAGTTTCCAGAATGTTAAGAGGTACAGCTGGACTTTGCGCTGCTGAGTTAGCAGATGCACCACTAACACACTCTATTTGGAAGAATATATCTCCAATGAGACGAGGAATTTCAGAACCAATACATGCCTTCCATGTACTCTCCATACCTTCTGCCAGAAGTTCTGCTGCTGTGGAACTATATTTTTCATTCATGGCCATAACCAATTTCATTAATGGATGAACAGCCAGCATCGCAAGACTTGGTTTCACAAGGCTAGGGTACCAAATGGCTAGTGCGGCAGCAACAATAATATGTGATGTCATTGCATCTTGACTTGTTCCTCCAACACAAGAAATCCAGTCTTGTACTTCAAATGACTCTAGCCATACAAGTATTTCAGATTCCTCAGCCTGAGAAATTCCTTCTTCTTCTAGCCTTTTGTCAGACTTCAGCTTGTTTGTGGATGTTTCTTCTATGTTTGAATTTTCAAGATAATTTTCTACCATTCCATTTGAAGAGTTCAGAAGGTTTGCATGGTCATTTGGTTTATGATTGCACAAGGGAAGTGGAATAGCCCGTGAAGCAGCGCAGTGGAATAATGAGCGTGCAGCCATTCGTACATGTTCACTTTCATCTTGCCAAAGACTTACAAGTAGCTGCAAAACAGAAAAACCAGACAACCAAGCACATAAAATAAACCAGAAAACAAATAAGTTAACAAGATTCCTCAACTATAAAACTAAGTACTTTCCAAACAACAAATAAGTTTGTGGCACTTATAAGTACATTCTCTATTTTCTGATTCAGAACTCATGTTTGTACCAGAAAAGAAAAGGCCTTGCACTTGAGAACCCGAAAGATGAAAAATAAAATGAGAAAAAATGAACCACCCTTTAACATCTCTAATCAGCCTCATCTTTAGAAGTCAACAATGTTTATTGATAAGAGGGAAAATTGTGACCCAAGTCTTCAAAAAACAACCTGTACACCGCATGTATTTCTTAAAAACATATATTTTGATTGATATGGTACTTAGTTTAAGAATACTTTACATCTTACGGTTTTAAGTAAGCATGTTAGCTTGTCACTCCATGGCAGTTGCCAAAAACATAACAAAAAAGGAATCCAGGGTCGTAATTTTAATTCTTAATGAAGAACAACAAGCAACATCCAAACGGATTCAGTAGAATACATAGACAGGGAAGAATACATGTTTCATTACTGGCAGCTTTGGGCAAGAAAAGATCTTTCCCTCAGAGGGATAGAGAAGAACCCCTTATTTGAAGGTGAGATTATTATTATTATTATTATTATTTTTGATAAGTAAAGGTGAGATTATTAAATATTACATTTAACTTTTAGAAGCTTCAGTACAATATATTACATGTTAAAGTAACTTTTCACCCACCACATATGAAAATTTTCTTTATAAAATTTTATACCTATGAAAGCTTCAAAGATATTGCCAGTTTTCTACCCTTTTGTGGAACACAATGTAGGCAGTACAGTGAATAAGATATGAAAATCAAATTAAGCTAGTAAGTTATATGTGTGTGTTTGTGTGACATGGGGAGAAACAGTTACTGAATATTCAACTTCCTATACAATTATCTCAGCATGGTAAATATATCCGAGTAGTTTTTAGATATGAGGTCAGCCCAGAGGTACATCTTTCCTTTTCCTTTTCTCATTCTTTGACTAGTTGTTGCATATAAGATACGTTAATATTGTATGTTTTGATAAGAATTACCTATCTTTATGTCACACATAATACAATAATTGTAAAAGTGATCAAGGTGATGTACATCAAATGCATCATTTTTCTTAAACTCCACAAGTTCCCTGTATCTGAAATTGGTTTTTTTTTTTTAACTCTATTTTCAAATAAAAGTTTTCATAAAATTGTTAAGCACAATAAATCAAATATTGTTTTTTTTTTTTTTTTTGAATTCTTTGTAAACAGAATATTATTTCATAAAATTGAAACCCAACCAATTGCACCCAATTAAAAAATTATCACCAGAGATTCAGACTACGAAAAGAATTAAAATAAAATGTTACCTGAAGCGAAGGTGGCTTGATGTCAGGAATTTTCTCTGCAAAATTGCGAGTATAGAATGCTGCTAAAGCACTGCAAAAGGACACATCACGTAAGAAGGTGCAGAGTTAAAATATAAAAATGCAGATGGCTTTTAAAAATGAAAGAAAAAAAAAAAAAAGCAGGAAAATATCTACATCTTCATAAAAGGGTCCTGATCTTATAATTTAACATATTATGTTGAAGAATTAGGAAAACATACATAATATAGGTGCCTCATAGGAGCTGGTCAAAAAAAAAAAAAAAACATGTACTAAACATATAATAGGTGCCTGGTAGAAGTGGATCAAGCTGAAGAGCTCAGTATCCTGAATGGTAGGAGCGGATCAAGCTGAAGAGCTCAGTGTCCTTGAATGGAACAGTAGTCAGTATCTATTTCAATAAGTTTAATGGAGACAAAAATAAATTGTGTCAACAAAATGACTGCATACACATACGATATAGAATATAGTAGTAAAGAAAAAGAAAAAAATCATGTACATGTGCTCACACTCACTCATTGGGAATCAAGACAAGCGTTCAAGATTCTGATAAAACTTTTGAGAAGAAATGTGTTGATTATTTTCTTTTGACTGTTAATCATTTTGCATTATTGGAGGCATGAAAACATTTCCTAGACAAAACTCATCCAAATTTATCTTAATGAGGAGCCACAAGCCAACTTCAAATAGTTGGAGAAATATTTTCTCAAAACTGATGCCAATATAAGAACTCAAAGTCTCAACTAGGATTCATTAGATGGAGATTTTTTATTTCTTTTAACCAGTGTTGGTTTCCATTGACTGAGGATGGTAGGAGGGGTTCGCTTGGGTACAAATTTATCTATTGGCATCATTTCTGCAAAGTGACTGCCTCATATTCTATCCCACATTCACACATTTGCTAGGTGAAACTTTTACCACTGCACCAAGCAAGTAAAAGGACACCAATTAAAATAAAATATTTTCAAAGAGTACTCTTTAAGGCAAAATCTTTTAGTTACCTGCTGGCAGCTGAGCAGGAATGAGATAAACTAATCATGCGCTGGGCAAGTGAAATCATTGTTAATGATCTTAATGCACAGAATTCTGACGACGATTTCCAAAGCTGAAATAGTAATTTTAATGTCTCAGGATATAATGAAAGAAGCCAAGAGAACAGGTTCTAATGTCTTATACAATTAATATATACTACCTCAACAGTAGCACTCAAATTAGGAAATGCCAATGTCAGAGATCCTCGGTCTCCTTGCAAACCAGAAGCTACAATGAAATTTTCCGGTATCTTCAGCTTCATGTCAGTGATTAACAATTTGTCAAGCTCATAGTCCACATTCCACATGTGCAGAAAGGACAAGCTGAATTGAAGTAAACATCTTTCAAGTGACTGATCCTGGTCATCGTCTACTGCAGTATCATTTAAGGTCCCATGAAAATCAGAACCATCATCTAAGGTCATATCTGCAGTAACGTGGTGGGATGTTGACGTCACAGCTCCCTGTTCCTTTAAAATGTTGTTCACTCTCTTACCAACACCAGCTTTGGGTGTCTCAGCTCCCTGTCTCATGTGGGCATTCTCTTGCTTATTACCAGCATCTTTGAAGATCACATGCTTCTGACAAGGGGACATCAGTGATGCAAGATCAAAACTCAGCATTGCAATCCCAGTGAATGGGCAAGAGCATTTGACAGGATGCTTGTTGCTTTGAGGGAATGTTACAGAGGCTTGCTTACTAGCATGAACTTGAGAAGCATTTGGCTGTGTCATTTTAGTCATACTTGGGGATATATTTGACGAAGAGATCCCCTTCTCTGAATTTTTTAAATGAGTTTTTGAAAAATTTGCATCTTCAGTCATTGAAAGAAGTAATGAGGAAGCAGAAGTATTTCCATTCAATATATTGCCAGAAAGGGAATTTATATTGATGGCTTTACAAAAATAATCAAACATTGAATGAGAAGCTGTCCCACGGAGAATCCGCTCACGAGCACCTGTCTTTATGTCCCAAATGCACAAAACATCGATTGCGTCAGATGTTCTTGAATGGTTCTGGCAGAGACATGCTACATAGCCCCTTGTTCCATCCCATACAACTTTTGCAGGATAGTATGGGTGACCAGGAAACATTCTCTCCACCCGCAAAGTCGAGAGAGAGGTAAGAGCGACACAGAAGTCCTGCCCAACGGATAGAAAGCAATCGCTCCATGGACGGTCAGTTTGAGGAGGAGGAAGAATTATTTGGCGGACGGGAGCTACATGTTGGTGCATTACTGCAATGAGATTGCCGGAATCAAGATCCCACATACGGACTGTGCAGTCCATGCTCCCTGACACTAAAACCTGTTTAAAACTCCATCCTTTAGCGGTACCCACCATCTGATGTGCTGCCAAACATAGTACAGCACCCATGTGGCCAGAAAAAATTTGTTTGGATACATTTGAATCCACTTTGTGATGTGTACTTCTACCGTGAGAATCCGGTCTGCCAAATAAGATATCAAACTGTACAACTTCTATTTCGCCAGTATAGTAGCCATATACAACAGCATAAGGAATATCATAGTTTCTAGAAATAACCATTGAAGTAGTTACAAGCCGTTCCTTTTGAGGAAAACCATAGTTTGCATTGTCTGCGTATGTATTATCCACTTTTTGACATGGAACAGACTTTTGCAGGGAAGTTATCTCAGTAGTTATGCCAGTTGGTTCTATGTTATCATTGTGGTTGGGTTCCTCAATTCTACGAGATATTGAGCTCGTAATCCAGTCAACCAAAAAACTGCCTTCCCCAAGCATTCTGCATTCTTGACAAGACTTAGTGTTGTTATCATGTTGCTGAGGCACTAACCAGATTGTGACATGAGGTTTCCACAGCAAAGGTTCTTCAACTTGAAAGCAAATTGATTCAATACGGAGAAGAAAAGATTTCAATTGAATAAAACTAATGGATAACCTCACATCAACTGGATGAGCAGCGGCAGGTATCACACACACGGGCTCAAAATTGAATATGTTGTCTGAATATGATATTCTGTACACAGTCGCAGAACCACTACTATTCCAAACGGCAAAATCTTCTGCAAATGTATCTGGGGAGTCCAAGGTATTCACTGTCTTCCTAACATTATCATTATCAAGAAACATGCCCCCTATAATCTGTGATTGAGTGACATAGCCATCAAGACTAAGGTGTTTGTCAATGAAAGATATCTCTCCAATTGCAGTACCACTACTCATTAGCCTAAATATACAGTAGGTTTTATATATAAGAACTAAAATCTGCCTGCAGATTGCAAATGTCACAACCTGTCCCCTCTCACCTAACCCATCTTCCCAGTCAGTCCTTTCCAAACAAGAAGAATCTTTCTGCAAGGATGTCTCATATTTCCCATCTGGGTTGGAGTCCTTCAATATGGGAAAACATTGTAGCTTACCAAATGAATCTACCATAAGTACCGATTGCTTTTCAATATCCTCAACAGATGGAACCACAACCATAAATTTAAGTGGCCCAAGGGATAAATTCCCATGAAAAATAGTTTGGAGGATAGTAAGGGTATATGAATCAACAATTACAATTGAACAATTAGAGGGTTTTCTATATTGTGAGTCTCTATTCATTAAAGCCTCACTCCCTTCTGAGGAATCAAGTGACTGATTGTCAGACAAATGAACGGCATCAATGAAACAACAGGCAATGCAAACATATCTAGGGTTTTCAGGTAGTGGCCGTACCATGGATGGACTCCCCACCCAAGGTGGCATTTTCCTTCTGCGCCTGCAATGTCCAGTGCCTCTGCTCCAAATGCACAACACACCATCAGTACATGCACTTATTAGAGCACCATAATCAGATGACTTAGAGTTCAGCACCACATTACTTGACTTTTCTCTCTCTCCATCTCTGGTAACTACGACAGGAACACAAATGCTGAGGTCCGCTATGGGTGCAGCATGCCCACACAACATAGCAATTGGTTTAATTTCCTGGCATATTATGAATCATTAGACTGACACAAAATTGAGAAACAATTATTTAGATTCATAAAGCATTTCTTTTATTGTAGAAAGAACTAAAAAGGGCAAGTCCAATGCACGAGACTCCCCTCGAATAGACTTAAGTCGGATAACATAACAATTTATAAACTCATTTCATTTCTCATTTTCTGAAGGAAATTATATTAACATTCCATTTTCTCCATTTGCACACCACTTGCATTTTTCTAAATAAAAAAATAAAATTGCCCTTCAAAATCACACTCACTCACGCTCCACAGTTTTTTCAAAAAAATACTCATAAACTCTAGTTTTGAGGGGTAATCTTGTATTTTTATAAATTAAAAGTAAATTGGAATGAGAGTGGAGTTTGAATATCATGTCTCTTTTACACAGACAACTAAAGATAAAACTTCTGACTCGGAGTTCTGTTTTCTTTACTCTTAATTTTTGGCAACCAAACAACATAAAGGTGAGGGGTTAAGCATTTTGATATAAACAATAAGCTGAATAAAATATCAGTACAACTCAGAAATCTTCCTTAGTTTTCTTCATTTCTAAAAAACAAATACTTTAAAGCTAATACATAAGATATGGATTCAGGAATCTATAAATAAGGAATTATTAAACGAAGCTTATAAAGACATGGTCTTTGAGGTTTCTTAAGATTTGTAGAGATGTGAGGGATAGAGGAAAAAACACCATAAGCTTAGTGTCAATTTTAGGTATTGCTTATTCTCTACCATATTTAATTACTCTATGCTTATGGTAGATCATTCTCTCACATATGTAAATATAGGCAAGGTTTGCCAAACCCATTAAGTATTGTGTTCATTAGTGTACCATAACTAATTTTGCCTAGATCTCGATGCAGATGTGGTTTATAATGCCCAACAAGACTACAACTGGCATCATAGCTTCGTTAGGCACATATTCAACTAACAACACAATTCAAAATCTTATTTTCTTAACTTTTACTATATTTTCTCAACTTCCAAACAGACAGCAGAAATAATAGTAAAAACATGAAAGACATTGTGAAAGAAACAATAACCTACTTGAAGTAACAGATTCTTGTTCAGAACAATTTTGTCTACCACAAAAAGAAAATGTCAATAACCAAATAAACACTCTTCACTCCTTTATAAAGTGAAAAACATAGCTCGATCACCCAAAAAAAAAAAAAAACTTCTTCTTCCCAAACCAAAACGTTATAAGAACACACACAAACACACATATATAGACCACAATTGTGGTTTAAGAATATTAACAAACAGATAGAGAGCAATGGTTGATGAGTGAAAGAAAGCACATGGAGGTGAGTTACCTGAGTGGAGTCGTCATTGGCGGAGAGGTTCCAGGAGACGATGGAGCCATCGGATCCGCCGGTATAGAGAGTGGGAGGCTGATTAAGGACGGCGGTGGCGGTGACTCGGTGAACAGGTGGAGAGCCTGACCATATACATGCCACGGGTTGACACTTCATCGACGAACCAGTCTAAAGTCTAGTTGAGCCCAGAGATCGATGATGGTTCAACTGCGTCAATCTAGAGAGAGAAACAGGATTCGACGGTTAGAGAGAGATGGGAACTCATTCGCCTTACAAGCCGAAACCGAACGACAGTGTATTGGTTAAATTGTTTCTTTTTTCTTTGGGAATAAAGGTCTGTGGGTATTGGTTTAATTCTCTGAACGAACAACCGAGGAAGTGCGAACAATGGCTTGATCTTATTGGTTCAAGGGCGAATCCTCTGAAGTGAGATTCACATGCAGTTCCTTATAGTGAGTTTTAAGTGATCTATATTTGGCCACGTCCTTCTTTATTTAACATGTTAACTTAAAAAATTTAAACCAAAATTAAAATCACTTTAATTAACTTTAGACAACAAACTTAAAGAGGATAACGTACTTGAAAAGAGTTATATCTTTCTTCTTTTTTTTTTTTTTTTTTCTTCCAAATATTAAAAAAACATACCCTTAGGTATAAATTATTTAACATTTTTTTGAAATTTTTTTTGACAAAGTTTAATATTAATTTGCTACACTCACCACCTTCACCATCAAAAAAATGTATTCACATAGTGCTGAAAAACTAATAATCACACATAAATCTAACTCAATTTAACATATTATTTAGGGTAAAGTGTAATAAACCCCCTTCAACTATACTCTAAGTGCAACTAACCCTCCTCAATTACAAATAACCCCCTTCAACTATGGTCTTGGTGTAGTCTTAGAAGGTTATTACAGTCATCTACTATCACCAGAAATTGGAAAAAGTCCATTTTACCTTTCACCAAACCACAAAGTAGAGACATAGAGAGAGAGAGAGAGAGAGAAAGAAGGGACCAAAGAGAGAGAAAAGGTACACCAACGGCAGCACCGGAGGAAAGGCATCGGGCTTGTTGGGTTCAAGAATATATATGTGAGGAGGAGGCGATGATGGTGGTGGTGGGAGTGGGCAGTGGGTTTGTGGTTTCAATTGGGTTTGATGGCATGTGGTGAGGTTGTATAATACCCCTAATTTCAAAAGGATAGTCCTGCTATTTAATTTATGTTTTAATTGACTTTTTAATTATTTGACTTATTTGTATTATTTGAATTAATTATTTGGTTTACTTGTTTTCTTTGATTTAACAAATTGTTGAATTCTTAGACTTATTTAACTTACATTAAGTGCTGCATTTTTTTTGTGACTGGGTTTATTATCTGTTTAACTGTTAATACTGCTTTAATTGTTTTATTTAATTTTGTTGATTTTTAATTGATTTATTTGTAATTAGTTTAATTATTTTAGAGGCAACTTAACTATTTTAAATTATTAGGGTTTTGTTAATTTCATCGTGTTTTATTCTGAGCCGACCTGTAGGTGGTTTAGGATTAAGGTTAAGGTTTCAACTTAAGCCTATAAATACATATGTTTACATCTGCTAAGGGTTGTTTGTAAACCCTATTCACCATAGTCACGTATACAGCGATACAGAGGGTTGTGAGGGCAGAGAAACAGAGAGTGAGTAATTTACAGAGAGGGCTTAAGAAGGCAGAGCAAGGAAAACTAAAACACAGAGACGTGGATTCAATGTTTCAACTTTGAAACTTAAGGCAAGTCTCTGTTCTTCTCTATCCCTTTAAATTGTGTTATGTGCATGCTTAGGAAGACTCCAGGGATTAAACTAAGTTGTAATTACATCTTTTAAACATGTTTAATCAGAATATTGAAGCATTAAATAAATCCGGTTTCAATTGTTTTAACAGTTCAGTATTGAATCTTGTTATCGTTGCTTTAAAAGTTGATGTTTAATTCAATTCTAAGTTGTAATTACATCTTTTAAACATGTTTAATCAGAATATTGAAGCATTGAATAAATCCGGTTTCAATTGTTTTAACAGTTCAGTATTGAACCTTGTTATCGTTGCTTTAAAAGTTGATGTTTAATTCAATTCTAAGTTGTATAATTCTGCCTTGTGATCAATCTGGGACGAGGATGGAACCTTAATACATATATTAAAACTGTATTCAGTGTCTGGAAACCACCGGGGTCAGAGAAGAAAAGCAGTACAAGGGGAAACGGCTCTTAAGGGTGTGAGAGACGGCTCCCAAAAGGAGGGAGCCGCCTTCCACAAAGCTAGAGCCGGCTCTCTAGGGTTGAGAGTCGGCTCTCAACAGCCTAAAGCCGGCTCCCAAGGGTGGGGAGCCAGCTCCCCTTTAATGGAGAAGGCTCTCCAAGTTTCAGAGCCTTCTCTCTCTTTTGTTTTTGCGCATACTGAGTTTGAATGGACTGTTTAGCTGAGACTGAGTTTCTGAAACTGTTTCAAGGCTACTGAATGATGTAATACACTGCTTAAGACTTATATATGAATTGAGAAGCAAGCTTATAACCAGGAATTTGGGATGGAATTAGCCTAGGTTTCAAAGTAAACCTGTATGGAGTAAGGTTAAACATAAATTGGTAATTACTCATTGTTTTAGTAAGTTGGTTTCTCTGCATGTCTTGGAATTATAAATCATGTTTTGTAGCTGTGTTATAAGCATACTGTTGTTTAATAATATGCATGCTTAGTGAGGAGTTAAGTGTATAGTTTTACTTTGCCATACTAATGGACTGTAATTGGGATTCAAATTCTTATATTGGATGCATAAATTGGTTATATATATGTTAAACTATATTTGTGCTTGCTTTGGGATTGGTTGATGACTATTTAATACTGTATTATCAACTGTATTAACTGGAGGATGGTATGTACCGGTATGGGACGGTGACATACTAGATGTGGACTAGATTAAATACTAAGTCCTATCCAACATGGATTAAGGTATGAATTAATCATATAGGTTAAGTCCATCACCTACTTGTGTCATATCAATTGAGAATTGAATGACCTACTTTGGTTTTAGGATGGCTTAGTTATACAGATATCAGACCACTACACAGATGGATGGTATTTTGTATTAGGAGGAGTACGGACTTTATATATATATTATATGGTACCGTGGTATGAGCTTGAGTCTCATGACCATGGTTAGGGTGCGTATATCGCCTAGGATGGATAGCTGGACAGAGGTGTTGTTCCCTGGTAGGTCTAGATACACATGACCACAGTATGTACGATTTGCATGGTATCTCTATTCAGGCTGAGACAATCCTTTTTGGACTAGTGAGCGTCCTATAGTGTGTACTATATACATATATGGACTATTCTAGATATTGTTGAGTCTTCCTAGGATGTATTTGCGTATCGAATTACTATTTGGATTGTAATAGATCAGGACTTGCATGTGGGCCTGACCCACTTCTTTATTTTTCAGGTGCTCGTCAGTTCCAAGGTTAGAGTTTGGACGTGCAAAGCAGATACAGCTATTCATTCCTTCGATTATGTAGGAATCTTCTCTATGTTAGTTTTGGATTTTATTTTTATTTGTTTTTCAGTATCTTTTGGAGAATTTTAATAAGGGGTCCAATGGATGGATTCCCGAGTTGTAAACTTATGGAGTTTTGGATTATCAGATTTTAAGTATTTAATTATAAAGTATTTTATTTCTAGATTCTTTCAGCTTATTATTTTTAATTCTTATTTTATCTTGTATTATGTGTTCGGTTACATATTAATTGTTTGATATCCCTCGGGTTTTGGACCTGGGCCTGATCAACCCGTGTCTCGAATCTGAGGGGTATCACAGGTTGGGTATGAATTATTTCCAAAGGTTATATCGGGTTTGACCGAGTACGTAATCGGGCGATGCGAACATCATCTTCTTTATTTCCGATCTGAGATTGACGGTGGTGGAGGGTTTGACGACTTGTGGTGTGTGGTTCGACTAGGCACATCGTCAGTCGATGAGAAGACCGAGCATGTCGTCGGTCGATGCCCTGGCCGGTCTGTCACCGCCGCTGCACCACCCTCCGTCCATCACAACTGATATCACCCAAAGCCAAAATCGCCGAGCCATCTTCATCCTCTCCACCAGCCGACATCATCCAAAGCCCCAATCGAATAATTTAGGGTTCAGATTCCTTTCTCTCTACTCTGCCAATGTGAAGCTGACAATTAGGTACAAATGCTTTTACGATTTAATCGTTGTTCTTCACTCATCGGTTGGATGATGTCGCCGTTGCTAGGTAGGCGATGACAATCTCGGTGGAAACCCCTTCAACTACTCGGATAGTTGCAATTATGATGTCGGAGGGTCGGTCACGAGCATCAAATGTGCTATATATATATAATGCTCTTTCTCTGTGCTCTTGTTCTTTGGCAGCTGATGATATCACCGACTAATCGAATCTCTAGCTAGTGATAAAAGGGGAAAGGTAGTGAATTACAGATATGCGCATGTGAGAGAGGGATATATTTTACTGTTGAGATGGTGTTAGGTTGTTGCAGGTGGCGGTCATGGACTCATGGAGATTTGTATGTGTTCTTGCTTGGTTGGGTAAAAATGCAGAACGACACTAAAAATTGCAAGTGATGGTCATTAAATTTTTGTCCTAATTGTGATTTTGGGTCTTAAACTGTAGGTGATGTTGGAGTTGATCTTTAATTCAGTGTGGTGGTGGAGAGGAAATTGGCGTCTTCATCAGCGTGGTGGTGGAGAAGAAATCGGTGTCTTCATTAGATTGATGTATGAAGATGAAGATGAAGATGAAGATGGAGAATGAGTTATATTTTTACCATTGTTACTGACGTTAGGGCATGTTTGGTAGGGATTAGGTCCAACCATCAGCCAAGGGCATTATGGTCTTTTAAATAAATATTTCCTTCGACGTGCAGGCACACACTTAAAAATGAAAGGCCGGTGACCGGAATGGGTAATTTGCAACCAAACACCCAAGTTTAGGGGGTTTTTTTTGCCACTTTAGAATTTCAAGGGGGTTTTTTGCTAATTGGGGCATAGTTGGAGGGGGTTTATTGCACTTTACCCTATTATTTATATATTTTTTAAGTTAAATTTTATCATAAAGAATAGAACATCTAAAAAAATAGTCATATGTTTATTTAAAGAAGATTTTGAAAGGGATTATGAAGTATTTGGCTGTCAACAACCTTTACTTTTTAAGTGGTGATGTTACCCTCTTATAAATGGTGATATTACTTTTTAGACTCCTATGATATTACTTATAAATAGTGGTGTAATTGCCAAACTCGGTTTCAAGAACTATTAAATGAAAAAGAAAGCGGCCAAATATAGACCACTTAAAAGCTCACTGTAAGATATCGCATGAGAATCCACTTCAGAGGATTCGCACCCGTTGGTTCAATTCGTTAAGACTTGAAATTCGGACAAGGGTATATGGGCTGGGCTGGGCGGGGCAGGGCGGGCTAAAACATATTTGAATAATCCAACCAATTTCATTTCCACTTTGACCTTTTCGAAAAAATATTTAGCTGAAACATAGTTGAATAATCCAACCAACTTCATTTCCACTTTTACCTTTCCCAAAAATAATAAATAAATAATTCATTTTCACTTTAAATACTCAAAGTAAAAATTGTAAAAATTTTATTTTATTTTATTTTAGGTAAATCACATACACGTTTATAAATAAAATTTTTAAAGAAATTAGTTGTGAACATAGTAACATAATCAAAGAACCTGATCTTAATAAATAAAAATGACACATGTATTAAATTAAAGAAAGTTAACAGGTAAACTCGGTAAATGCATATGACCGTGTATGCACAAGGAACTACTACAAATATCAATATCATTCACTCTTTGCAGAATAATATTTGATGGAGTGAACAAGGATATTGTACTAACCTTGTGTAAAATTGTGAATGAATGAAAGTTTGATTTGGCATAGATAAGGGGAATAAAACAATTAAACCAAATACCTACATTAATCAAATCACAAATCAAAAGGAAAGGGGTAAAAATAGATACACGAACACTTTTTTATCTCAATCTCCTTCTACTACTAGGTTTTCTAAAAGAAATGTTTGAAGATGAAAATGCTACTTTGACTTGCGGTGAAATTTTTGAATAGAAATTGATATATTAATTGAAGATAAAAATTTTATAATTTGATCTATGCAACGGTAATTAACATTCTTAAATAAATCGATTATTATTATTAAAAGTTAAAATATTTTTCATGGTTGACTTGTTAAAACATTTCACTATGTCCTTGAGGCCATATTTTTAACTATGGTACACGTTTACTTGGGGCCAAATCCACCCATTGAACCAAACCAACTCAACCCTTCCCACCTCTCAAAATACCCACCCAAACAGATTAATCAATTGGCAACACTTTGTTCATATATCTGTTACTGGATAGAATGTGGCAACCACAATCTTTTTTTACGGGCCGAGCAGTTCAGCTTCAGCCTTAAAGCAAAAAACAATTCAAAAACATTATGCTTCTTAGGCCCAATGTAAATTCTATGCACTGGGGGGTTTTCTATCTCCCGGACCATCCAGTGTCTCGGAGAGAATCCTAGTTCACGACTCCCGGACCGTCCAGTGCCCCATAAAGGATCCGAGTTGACGAAAAAATGACCCCTAATAAATTGTCTACAAGAAGGAGCACATGCTAGATGGTTAAAAATAAAAAGGTAGTCTTAGTTAGAAGTGGACTCTAAATCCATACTCATGGTAATACTAGCTAGTTACTTAATTTTCCTGAGAGGTGCATTTTTTTATTGACTTGCAATTAAATGTATATTAGAGAAAATGCATTTTATTATCTGAAAATTCATATCAAAATGCTAGTAAAATGGCTGTTTTGTGATGAGAAATTGCAAAAAAAGAGTAGTAACTACAGAGGTATTGCACCATATAGGTTTGAGACCAGTATCAGGAGGACAAATGTCTGTTTAATCTTCTTCAATAATTTGAATATCTATATTTTGAACAATAAAAATGTCATGGGGATGTAGCTCAGATGGTAGAGCGCTCGCTTAGCATGCGAGAGGTACGGGGATCGATACCCCGCATCTCCATTCTTTCCATTTTTTCTCATAGCAGCTAGAGTTATATATATATACTTCTTTTCAGTTTCCGTTTCATCTTTTCTTTCCTCCCAAATTTTTATGTGCAAATACTATCTAATATATTATCCAATTCAATTGTTTCTCTTGCATTTTCTCTCAGATTGGGTTCTATCTTCTCCCCAACTTTTTGCTAAACAAAGTTGCTTTTAACTGATCACAACTCACCAACATATATATATATATACACACACATGAACATATTATACATCAAAAATCAAAGGAAAAGAAGAAAGAAGAAAATTTAGGAAAACATTTGATCCAGAAGCAAAACAATAGCCATTGCAAATCCAGGATCGAATTCCGGGCGTACGATCAGAAGAAAAACCTCTAACCCAAAAGAAACCCCTACAACCATAGCCTCCTTCCTCTTGATCTCAGCCACCACTCTCCTTGACTCATCCAACACTCGGCAAAATCTCTGCGTATAGGATCCTTCAATCACATACACACATCTCTTACCGGACGTCCCATCGTCATCATATACACGTGCAAGTACATTCATATTCGGTTGTAAAATGTTTTTGTGTTTCCTCACACAGAAAATCGGCTTCTTTGACGACGACTGCTCACCGACTTCTCCTTCATAGACTCGCCAATTATCTACTAGTCCTAGCCTCTGCTCATCAAAGATATATCATTTTCATGAACAAACTTAGACGACTTCATTATCATATATATTATATAGAATCATGTAACATAAAATGCCATATCATATTAATTATAGAGAACAAGCTAGTATAAAACATGTATTGTATTGATATTGATTATATATATATATATATGTACCTTGTGACGACACATGGTGAGGACAGTCTTGCCTGAGCCGTCCATGAGAATGAGTTCCTCTGGATGTCCAGTGTAATTGTCAACCCTAAATGCCAAGTTACCATTGGAGTCGATCACCGTGAACCCGTTGCAACTAATAACAAGTGATTTTCTCCAGACTGTTAGTGATGTGAAAGTATCATCAAGCTTGTGTTCATGCTCTTGATGCTGTTCATGAACTTTTCTTGAATTTGATATAGATTTGAAGAAGAGAATCATCTCTCTCTCTAGAAATTTTTTTTCAAAGTAAAAAGAAACTCATCCAAGGAGTGGATATTTATAAGCTATATATGATGGTTAGACCTGTCTTAGAATTTTGGGTGCTAAACCTAATGTGAATTTTCTCAGTATGGTGTGGCACGTGAGGCTAAGAATTGTTTGTATTTATGTATAAAATTATTAGAGAACCTTACCTAACTAGGCATGCCTCGCATTCTACAGACAAAAATTAGTGTTATCAATGAAGACAAATATGGTGATGAGACGTACACGTATGTATGTACACTTGTACTGATGGTCTCCATGATTTTTTTTTTTTTTTTTTGTCTTTCTGTGTGCTCCTCTAGAAAGAGAATCAAGTAGGTATTTGGGTTTGTGTTCTTAATTATTAGAAAAAAGATTCAAGAAAATAATTAAGTCCGTAGTTTCAATAGTTTAAACAAAACATAAAATGCAGTCCCTGTCCAAGTACATTACAAATTTTAATTGAATTGAAAGGTCGTCATGTAAATATGCCTTCGTGAAAGAAAAAAAAATGATCAAAATCCACCATATAATGAGTGCCAATATATGGACTCACTATTTCATATTCTATGAAAAAAATATGTAATACACAATTGATTTGAATTTCATGTGAAGTTCCAGTTTTTTTTTTTCTTTTTTTCTTTTCAATTGAACAATAATATAACATGAATGCTGAAGATATATAGACATGTTTCAATTTTAATGAAATATACAACGTGATAATGAATTATACAACTTGATGGGGACTGCTGTGTTACGGTTCAATTTTGTTCTTTTCTTTTTCAACTCTCGAAGTTCATTATTACATATGATTACTAAAGTTCATGAGATCGATCACACTGAACAATCTACTATAAGATATTTCAACCACCCGAATAAATGTAGTGGTAAGGAATGCCCCCACACTAGAATGAATTTCTCAATCAAGCTGCAAGAACAAGACCTTGATGTCCCATGGGCCATGGCCGGTACATCACCAAGTCATATACTCTTCAAACACGTCTCTCCCTCTCTCTCTTTCTCTCTCTATAGATATATACATATGTCTGCACCTACATGTGTATGTGATACAGAACTGATCTTGCCAATCTGACTACTTACATCATTTTGCACTCGAAATACGTTATTAACAATTTCATGTGTGAAGGTCTTCTAACCGTATAAATGTAACAGCACATTTTTAAAAACTAAGTGTGACTCCCAAAATAAAGATGTTCCCCACACTCGTAAAAAAGATTTACACACTGGTAAACTGAGTCCTTTCTCGGGCATTTTAATTTGTTTGGTGCCACACTTTTGCTGGTCACCGACCAACCTAGAGACCTTAGTTTAGATGTTATTATATTGATGATCCAACAAACTATATATATATATATATTGTGTGGTCAATAAAATGACACTGATAAATGCATGAATATGAGAAACTTCCAATTCATTTCTAACACGCCCCTTCCTCGTATTGGATGTTAGACTAGCTTTACAGGTGATGTGGGTGGGGACTTTGAGACTTCGCATCACTATTCGCTGGAAGTCTTTGGAGCAAGCACCAAAATCTTCCTCTGGAAAAGTGTAAATTTCTATGAAGATCTTCCCATATTTAGGCAATCAAGACTCCCTAAAACCAGACAAATTCTTTTGAAATTTTAAAATTAAAACACTTTTGGTTTGTTCTTAATTAACAATTTATATATGAATGACGCATGGACACGCGGCCTTGCTTCATTACAACCACATCATGTGTATCAGCTATTCTGTTCCCTTTGGGATATTATCTCCTTCCAAATTTGGGAAAAAGATACACCGAAAGGCTAATCGTCAAACACGTGCATATTTACTTAGTCTTCGTGGTGGGCCAGTGACGGTGAGGAATTTAGAGAGTTGTACGAGTAGGGGTGACTTAAACACCAATAATGTATAATGAATCATTAGCAGAAAGAAACTTGAATATCAGTCGAAACTTTGGTATCGGTCATAAAATTAATCTCGACGAAAGGTTTGGATGCCATTAGAAATTGAGTGAAGATATTTTTGAGATATTTATGAATAAAGTAAGAATTTTTTTTAAGATTTATATAAAATTTATAAATATTTTTGTAAATAAAAAAAATTTCAGTAAAAATCACAATTCGTTGAACTGTTAATGGGACCATGCGGTTTGCCTGTTGGTGATTATATGTAATAAAGGTCATTTGTCTCATATCGAATCTTAGTATAAATAGGAGGGTATGCAACACTATCTAACAGTTTAAACTTTTGAATAAATAGACACACGTCTAGCCATTATACTAAAATATAAAAATAGAATACTTTATATATATATATACTCCTACCTGTCTTAATGTAGTCGAGCAATTAGTGTTGTATAAGATTCATTTCATTATATGGATGATCTTGTGTAATTGTTATTGTGCTCTTACTTGGCATTTCTGATTAAATTTTGAATTATATTTCTTTTAATTTCAAATTTAAAGTTCTGATTCAACACTCTCAAAAATAACATCAAAGTATTTTCTAACCAAGTTAAATTATATAATTATAAATTGAATGTATTGAATTTTCAGGAAGTGTAAGGTAATGTGTATAGTGTAAATATGACCAAAAATTTGGACATGTAAAAATATTGATCCTGCTTGGTCCTTGAGCTTCTAAGCCTCGTGGTAATTAAAAATCTGAATATCCAAATTTAGGATAGTAATTATTTAAATTAAGGATAGCGGGATCATATTGCATCATCAATTTTATTTTAATTCGTGATATCTTCCTTTAAGATAGATCGAAACAGCAGACATGATCCTTTCAGTTAGTGATGCATATTAGAAACTAGAGGGGGATGAAACCAGTCCCGTAGGACATGATTTTAATTATATATATATACATATATATAGATGTTGGATTTGAAAACTCAACTTTGATTGGGGAATATGGAAAAATTAAGAAATACCAAAAAACAGTGCACTAAACAAGGTTTTCATATACCAATTTGAAAATAGCAATGCCATTTTCCTTCCAAATTTCCTTTGAAAAAATTAATATCATGCAAGTTATTCACATTTTATGCACTAAACTTCTAGTTTCAGCAACTATTGCATGTCCAAACATTGAAATTTGTGAGTTTTGTGGATGTACTGAACTCGGCTTTGATTTGGAACTAAATTGACTTTGGAGTTCATATATTTTGTTGAGCCCATAAAGTTCCTAAGACAAACTAATAAAATTGAGCCTTATTTGGGCAAACTCCTTAAAAAAACACCTCGGGTCTAGGATTTATGGGCTAAAATACAGCTGACAAATAAGAAGCTTATGATGATTCTATTGGGCCTTATGTTCGTCACTTTTGGGCCTATTGGGAGAGACTAGCATTTTCAGTTGTTTTTTAACGGGCTTTGGTGGTTATGGTTTCGTTACAGTATTACAATAGGAGGAAAATGTAATACACAATAACTAAAACAGAATTCGAATATACATTTTTTTTTTTTTAAATTACAAGGAATATTAATATGTCATTTCTTTTGAATTGATAGATTCCGAATGAGGTCATTATAAGATATTATATAGAATTTCATTATAAATAGAATTTCCCACATATAAATAACCCTGGTGGTTAACATGTAATAATCAAAGTCCTAATTAATTCAATTAATTCATCTCGCTCTCTCCATTCATTGAATATGTCAATAAAAGAACTCTGTCGAACGTCAATCTTTTAAATATGAAAAAAAAATATTAATTTACCAGAAAACAAAAGAATCATGACAAATTTTTTAAATATATATAATAATCTGTAGGGTAGGTCATTCAACTAGTTCCAACATTTTTAGTCTTCACTTGCACAACCATTCCCTAATATTCCACAATTTAAAAATGAAAAAAGAGCCCCCTCTATAATATGCATATATATACAGACAGATTTAGTGGGATTAACCCCTTAATGGGCTTTGATTTAATATCATTTTGGTAAGGTGACATTTCTCCTTCAATGATTGACACCATATAACTATATATATATTATTATATATTACAACAATTTTATTATGTAACTATGAAAGTGCCATCACATAAAAGGCCAAATAATAAATAAAATAAAATCAGATTGTCTAGACAAAATTAAACATAGTTGCTAATCACTGCTCTTAGAATCAGAGCATGTGCTTAAGTACTTTGCCTAGGAAATAAAGATATTCACATAAAATAAAATATATTGGAAGATGACTTTGTCTTTTTTTGATAAATAAGATTTTTATTAGAAGAAACATCGACGTCTAACTAGGCCAACAGAATACAACTGAAATAATTTAAAGAAAACAAGAAACATTACAGCCTCAGCCTACATGACTATTGTCGATGAAAATAAAGACAATCACATTATAAAATAAATATAGTGAGAAATGACTTTGTAAATGAAACCTTCCTATTGATTTTGTAACATGCAGCAGCCATTAGAAATTAAAACAGAGATACATATTAGAAACAACATGTTCAGATGATCCATTTTAAATATGACTCAACGATTTACTCGTTAGATTTTGGAGTTTAGCAAACCCAAGTTTTAGGGTTCGAGTCTGGTTGAATATTCTTTGTGACTAGTCTCCGCTGTTCCTGCAATGACTTATCTGACCCGGGTGAGGAGACACCCTTCCGAGTAATCTGGAATTAGTCGGGTTGTTGAGGAGCCCTAAAGATTCATGCCTTCCTGAACACTCTAGGTTAAAAAAAAAAATGTTCAGGATGATGACGGGGTGGAGTTAGGGCGGATTTAGTTAAACCCTACTTCGTTTCGCCCCTACTCCTGTAGATAAGTACCGATTCTGTCCCGTGTACTCCATTTAATTATGGGGGCGGAGCGGGTTATGTTATTTTTATTATTTAGTACCAAAAAAAAAAAAAAAAAAAAAAAAAACTAGTCCAATGTGTTCAATTGGGCTGATAAATAAGTTAACCTAACTTTTAAATTACTAAGTAATGAAGATTAATTTATT